ACTTGGTGTTTACTCATAGCAGAGTGATAACCTGGTGTTTACTCATAGCAAAGTGATAACCTGGTGTTTACTCATAGCAGAGTGATAACCTGGTGTTTACTTATAGCACAATGATAACCTGGTGTTTACTCATAATAGCAGAATGATAGCCTGGTGTTTACTCATAGCAGAGTGATAACCTGGTGTTTACTCATAGAATAGTAATTACATGGTGTTTACTGATAGCAGAGTGTTTACTAACAGCAGAGTAATAGCATATGTTGTTTACTCATAGCAGGCCTACAGCAGAGAGTTGTTGCTCATAGCAAGGTTATTACACAATTCATAGTTTTCATAACAAGGTATTAAATTTGTTGCCACAAACATTGCCGTACATCATCACACATCTCACGCCAAATCAGACTTTGTCACAAAAATCACACATGATCTGAACAATAGTAAACAGATTGATATCATACCGATGAGATTTTCGTGAATTTAGTAAAATATGTTCTTTACCAACCCACCAAAATCTAAATAAATGTATTCAGCAATGTTCGATAGTTCATGACACCTAGTCCTGAGGAATTATATGAAGTATCTTAAAATGAAACACTAAAATCATTAAATCATGAAAGAAATTGAATAATATCGATATCACTTCAGGGCCCGTATTCATGAAACCGACCTCATGCTCTAGCTCAAGTTAGCTTCCTTGTAACCCACCTAAATCATGTCAACAATCAAAAAGTCAAATTTAAATATTGAAAACAGTATTCGGCTTCAAGTTTCTTCAATTTTTGTCCAAAACTATAATAAAATAAGATGTGTTAAATAATTTATAACTGGAACAAGAAATAAGACACTAGCACTTCCAATATTCACACATATTTTTACAGTACTTCCAGACCCTTCTGATGTGTTCATTAACAACCTCCAAAAACTATTTTTTTTATTATTTTATGGTCAGGGAAAATTGACAAGATTAAAAGGAATGTAATAATAAACTCATACGAGAATGGAGGCCTTAGACTCACTCATATAAAATCATACTGCCAAGCACTAAAAATGACAGGGATAAAAAAAATACTAGACCCAAACAACAATTTTCCTTGGAAATATTCAATATCTGATAAACTTCAAAAATTTGGGGATGAGTCAATTTGGTACATGAAGAGCGAGGGCCTAAACAACATAGCAGATCACTTCAATCCTTTCTGGAGTAATATTATTAAAATATGGGCTTCTATAAAGCGTGCTCCACCCACAACCCCGTCAGAAATACTATCACAACCAATAAGGTTTAACAATAAAATTAAGATAAACAAACAGTATGTACTGTATCAAAGGTGGGTAGAAAATAATATGTTCTTCATTAAAGACTAAGTTAATGACAGGGGTGAATTTATTGATGTGAATCTACTTAAACTTCAATATGATATCCAAATTAACTTCGTTGAGTACTATGGCTTACTAGCATCTATCTCAAATTCATGGAAAAATGTGATTAAAACATACAAGAAAAATATTGATGTACCAGAAAACAAATATATACAAATACTAAAAGGGAAAGAAAAGATAACTAGAGATTTTTATGCAATATTGGTCAATCAATATCTAGATCTCCCTATTTCATCTATGCAAAAATGGCAAAGGAAAATGGGATTAGATATAACAAATGACAGTTGGAAGATGTACTTCAAACTATCCTTCAATATAACAGATGACACAACACTACAAATTTCAATTTAAATTGCTACATGGAATACTCTATACAAACTCTAGACTTATGAAAATGAACATTACAGAAACAGAAATTTGTAATATTTGTACGGTAAATAGAGAAACGCTGACACATTTATTTTGGGATTGTCCTCATACACGTGCGTTATGGTCATTTTTAAGACAACAATTTGTAACTAATTGTAATATAGATTTGCCATGGTCAAATATTTCCTTTATATTCGGAATAGATGACACTCCTGAAAATGAAAGTGTGAATATGTGTATCATCATCATAAAGAAATATATTTACTCATGCAGAAACAAACATACAATGCCAACTATTGGCGGGGTCCGTTCTGCAATATCATACTATAGGCTAATTGAAAATCGATGTATCCTGTCATATCCCCGTGCAAAAGCCGACTAAGTAGTATCGAAGTGGGCCGTTATCAGCACAGCATTGAACATTGATTAATTGAATTTCAATTCATATTTTGCTCATTCTTAATATCGATGTTAATCATATCTAGAATTATTCACTACCTAAAAATAAGAACGCAAGCAGTTGTTATTGTACAGGAAAAAGAAACAAAATGAAAAAGAAGATAAAATTCATTAGTATGCGAGACAATATGAAATACAATGTAATAATTGTCATGTACTCCACTGTATACTAACATGTGAACAATCAAAAATAAAATATGATAAAAAAAATAAAAAAAATAGACTTGAGCACAAAATTCGTGCTTGAGCATGAGAACGGTTTCATGAATACGGGCCCAGGACAGCTCCAACTAATCATGTTTGGATCGTTCCGTGAATAAAAGGAATGTGTATGAGTCCAATATGAGTTCGATGAATACAAACACATACAAGTAAACCCTAAAACCAACTTGACAACGCCACGGGAATGCTGTTTTGAGATTATATTTTCCTTACATACTCACATTACTGTCTTTTGTTTAACCCCTGGACATTTGTGTCTTGAAAAAACATTTATGAGAGAAACATAACTGTTTTATTCTACCCTATTTCTGGTATAATGACACAAGAAAAAAATCCCATTATTTGTTTTGGCCTTGCATATCACAATATTTGAAAACGAATCATCATATTGAATATTTTGTAAACAATTTTATTCCGTTTCTAATTTTTTTATATTGAAGTAAGGAGCCAAATGCCACAAAAGATGAGGACTCGATATCTTAAGATTATTGAGGTGTTCTGTATAGCAGATTTTCTTGTTCATGTTATTTCGAATTAACTCGGTTCGCCAGTCTATATATTACTGGTTCTCGTTCCACCAAGGAGTTGTACTCTGTTGCAATACAAAAGAACGGAAGTTTGAGCCATAACAACGTTGTGCTAAGGAAAACGGTCAGTAATCGTTCTCATGCTCAAATTCAAATTCTGTGCTCAAGCGCAATTTGTTTTATCTCGGTGATAAATCGATGAATATGCACTCTTTCTCAGGCATTTTGGAGAATTTCGGAGGACTTAAATGCAAATTCCGTTTTCAATGTTTACACTTGACTTTTTGGCCGAGTCATATAATTTAAGCGAGTTGCAAGAAAGAGGTTTGAGCATATGCTCCATGTTTGAGCCTGAGAACGGTTTCATAAATACGGGCCCTGGTATTGCTAAGCTTATTCTTTCCCTTCATTGCGGTATATAATTTCGTCACTAAAATTATCTCCAGTTTCTCAATTGCATTGCAAAGGACTGTATTCATTAGCGCAAATAACTAAATAGTAGACCAATCATACTAAAAGTCACTGCAGTCTGCTACCTTATTGTATACTTCATTATAAGTATACATCTATATACGTTAACGGTCTTTTATTTTGGTATCAGTAATTATTTCAACAATGCATTACATAGCAATATTAATACAAATCATGTCAGTATTAAGAATACAAATAACTAGCACTGGCTGTTTTCAAAGGGTTTCATTAGAAAGACTTATGGAAATAGCGCGTTCAATTTCATTTCGGCACAAATAATGTTATAAACACAGCACTTTTCAGAGAAAGATATTGGGTATAATTTGCATGTTGCAGTAGCTGCGGATTCGGAAGATATTCAGTCGGAAATAACAATAACCGGTTTTCCAAAGAATGGTTTCTGAAAGGCAAGTGATATCAGAACAATATAAGAACACCCATGCTTAACTAAACACGTACAGGTGGATATAAACGTATGCCGTATCTTTAGATATACTCAGCAGAATAATTGAACACATTGTAAGTGTGTTTCGCATATCATACGTTTGTGAACTAAAAAAGGATTAAATCATGTTCTGTTGGGGTTTATAGGTAAAATTTACTGTGAGACGAATTTCTGGTATGATATAATCAGCTGATTTGTATTGATTACAACATTTAATAAAATATAACAAATACATATATGTTTATTTAAATCGGAAACTTCCAAGAAAGAAACACATATTACAAGATGAGATATGACATATTTATACACGAACTGGAAACTTTATGAAAAGATATATCTCGGATCTGTTTGTATGTAGTTTGAGTCAAAGTTCATTAGAATTGTAAATATATGGAAAAAGAATAACAAAGAATATGCTTTTTCGAAGTGAGAATGGGAACGCCCCGTCATTATTTAAATATTACGACCAATAGTGTTCCTCTTTGCAGAAAAATCATGCAGAAACGATAATTTCATTCAAAAAGAATGGAGACCGTTGAACTATTAATTTGCGATAATTTAGTACAGACTTCCTGTTCAAGAAAAGATAAGATACAAGATTGAGAGTATTATTTTTGTTATTAATATCACTCCATGATCATTGAATGTAAGATATTATAATTATTGTACAAATTGATGTTCTGAGAAAACAACAAAGGGCAAATTATGTATTGTCTTGCAACAGCCAATTCAAGAATTGAACCAAATATTGTTTAAGAAAAAAACAATATATATACATTTCGTAACAACAGAAACTTTTTTGTCAAACAATACGCATAGTCGCTCCTTGACATATACAACCTCAAATATTCGATGAAGGATTTGAGGTTGTACAATTTCAATGAGCATTGTTTAATCATTTGACACATTCCATTGTTTATACCTTCATGTTGCGTAATATTTTAATTTCACATCCATTCATAAAATACCCTTTATAGCTTTCTTAGTTGAGAACTCGTTTATGGAGGAGATCACGACACTGTAAGGTAGTATACATCCATAAGGTTCTATCCGACATTCTTTTGGAACCAGATAAAAGGTAAATAAATACAGCTACAGGTTTGACCTATTAACCATATGTTATCGCTTGCTGACAGATCATTTCTCGTTCACTAGATCAGGATCTAAGGTGTTGTATACAATCCAACATGGACGAAATAGTGGACTAGATTTCGCCCTGCATTGTTATATATTCGTGGGATCAAGGTAAGGTGTTGCTGCGTTTGAATGAATAAGATATGTGCCTCTTATAGAAATGGTAATTAATTGCGAACTTGGAAAAGAACAAAAATATTAAATGAAACAATAAATCGAAGAAAAAAAAAAACCCGGAGTTTAATTGGCATGCATGTGAACGCTCACGAAGATTAAATTTAGTCGGTATCTTTCACAACGGCAAAAACAATCATTTATTAACTTTTATTTCATTTATATGCGGTTGGAAATACCAACGCTGAGGGAAGTGTCAGGACTACATAAAGAAATACACTCACACGCTCCTTCTTATCGTTCGATTTCATTCGTGGGTATAAATTGACGGTTTTTCCAGCTAATAACTGGTAAAGTACATAATGATATCACGTGTTATTTGTGCTGGTATATAAATGAAGAAACCTTTTACTCAAACAGCCAAGAGCATTGATCAGCGAGGTCTGGTTCCCAACTCCAAGATGAAAACACTGGTACAACCAGGCTGTTTCCTAGTTTTGGTTCTCCGTGCTATACTAAGCTTTCCATTAGAAGATGGGGTAAGCTAATCACTCATTTTACTTAATGAAAAAATCAAGATTGAATGTTTTATCAATGCACTTGTAATGGAAATCGGACAAGTCACGGCCAGGATCACTGTAGATAGAAATGATTGGCAATAACAGGATAGATTTCGAGAAAATGTGGTTGTTAAACCCTGAATAACGTTATAATGCTTTAACGTTTGGCTACAATACTGGTACAACGAAATATGAAAACATTTACCAGATTTTTGTTTTTGAAATTCGAACCAGAGAGTGAAACAAGGTAAAGTTTTAACAGCGGGCCATTCCTTTCATGATAGACTCATCAATTAATGCCAAATTAATAAGATAAATCTGGCCTGTTTTGATCAATCCTCAATGGCGCCCCACAATTTCATGGTAACCTTATCTGACTGTAGGAGGTCAAGTTGACATTTAAAAATATTTGTAGCATTGGTTGTGTAAGTAATTATAAATACATCTAGCACTGACCTTAGTTCCGAGTCCGCGTCACATGTATAAGGCATGGTAAGACATATGTATATACATGCTATGTGTTTTTTTGCAATGTATATCTTGTGTTAATATTTCAGTGGCAACTATTAATTGAACAAAGACAGTGAGTGTACAGTTTATGTCGAGTCCCTCCCTCATATTCGTCTAGCAAAGAATGCAAAGCACAACAAATAGGTTCAATAGGCAATAAGAGACCAAAAATGCAATCAAGAAAGGGTGACACTGAAAAATTGTCGGCAATAAAACACATTATGCATATATACTGATCCGTTATACTTTTATATCTGTTTTTAATTTGTTTTTCAGAGAATTGACTACACAGATGATGGTTTAAACACACCAGTTCTAAGTTTCTTAGAACAGAATATTGGTATGTTTTTGCGGACAATGACATGTGAATATGCCAGACCTATTCTTCGTTAAGACACAATATCTCCGAGACGCGCTAAAATCATTATAACAGGAATTTAATACCGATTTCGTCTCAAATTCCATGAAATATGTCTTGACAACGATAAACATGTCGAAAAAGGAAATATATGTCTCAATATTTTTACTTTATCTACTAACATCGTTAAGTGATGATTATATTGTTTACCAGGTGTTGAGGTATCAGGAGGGGTGCTACGGGAAGGAGACATTTACGTAGAAAAACAGGTAAATATATAAATAACTAGTGTTCTTATTCGCACTTCGATTTTACCTTTCAAGAAACAAAAATTTAAATGATACAGAAATAGATCAAAAGTAATTAAACAAATAAATAACACAAAAGTCACAACAACATTTTAGCAAGCCGTGTTTAAATTCAACGCATGGAATCGACAATGAATGATGCCCCATGTACACAAATCGTAACATCTTATGAAATATTATAAATATGATTTTGACGACTTTATATTCTGTAGAATCGTCACGCTGTTGGTAACCCGCGGTTAACATGGAGAGGGCGTCATGTACCGTACGTACTAGACCCGGGATTTGGTAAGCATCATTTTATTTTCTATTTTGTTGTTATTGTATCCTTTGCTTTTTATCACTTCAACCAATGGATATATGCTTTTAACTTCTTCGCGTAACAACAATAGAGTATGATCATGTAACAATGTAATTATATCCTGATAGCATCAACAATATTATGGCAAATAAGGAATTTGCCGTCATCATAAAACAGCATGACAGATCAATTATTTTCAGGAAGATATTAAAATATCATTAAGGGTCAGAATTACATTCTATGTCCATATTTTGAAAGTTATATATCAGCTCAGTATCAGGTTAAAATAACAGTTCGTAACATTTCACAATCACTAAGAATATCGCAGTATGTCGTATAATGTCAACGTTATCATGTATTATAACAGATCAGGACCAAGTCAACATTATTACCACTGCTATGGCGGATTTACACGACTTAGTCGGGGACGATTGTATCAACTTCCAACAGAAGATTGACAGTGACCGTGACTACGTCACTATCCTGAAAGGCACTGATAATGGGTAGGTTACATCCAAACCAATAATACCTGATGATGCATGAAGGTTTTTCATATCATTACCGAAGACATATTTGTATTCTTAATGGGACAATCTGTCATGACTGCCGAAATTGCATTTTGATGAAGGAGACGTCACATTATTGTTTGTTTCTTAAAATAGTATTTTAAATCAGGAACATTTACTTTTAGGTGTGTGAATGTTATGTTGGGGCAGTTATTTCTAACTGTAAATAGAATGTATAGTATTCTACCAGTTATGAACAATATACAATATTTAATATTCATTATACGACCAGTTAAGTACAGTTTACAATACACAGACAAATAGAAGCAAAGTCAGCATTGGCCTTATGTCTACTGATAGATAGGGAGACATTGTCCTCTTTCAGCAAAATTTAAAAGAATTTAAATGACCTCCTGAAAATGTTACCAATGATTTGATTAATATTTCATTCACTTATATGAGTTTGTTATGCTTTGTGTCCCTTCTAGATGTTACAGTGATGTGGGGAGACATGGTGGCGCCCAGAAATTGTCACTAGCTCCTAGATGTCTGCACAAGGGGACCATATTCCATGAGCTTATGCACACGCTGGGTTTTTGGCACGAACACACGAGACCCGACAGGGACCAATACATACAAATTAACTGGGATAACATCGCGTACCGTGAGTTCTCTGTGTCTCTCTCTCTCTCTATATATAATAACTTTCAGCTATATCACGACATTTAGTTTTAAACTACGAACATACTCTCAAACGGATCTTGAAGTGATTTAGGTGGGCCATCGACTTTCAAGCAGTCACCCATATACGAATACATTTGTAAAATGTCCAGGAAATACAAATCCCGATTGGTATTATTATTTTTACATACCAATTTTCTGTAATCGTAAACTTTTTGAAATAATAAAAGCATCAGAGGTATTACGTCTAACTAATCTCGTTATTACAAAGTTCGTAATTTCGTTACTAAGAGATGCAAAGGCGGCGATCATCGATTTCAAATCAGCCAGAAAAATGGTTATTCATACGACTGATGCACATTTTCATATTAAAATTAGCTATGTAACACGGTACCAGGTGGATAGATATCCCATTCTAGTTTTTGTATTATGATGAATATTTGGGGGTGAAAGTTATGTTTTAGGTTAAGTGGGAGTTACATAACCTTGTATATTATTTATTCGAAGTTCGTAACATATACCAAATTGATTTTGCCTCCTCGAAATAAAATGTACCATATATATCGTACTGTATATTTTATCAGAAACGATTAATATTAAATTTTCAGAGTTAAAAGTTTATGTTTCATTGCGTGGGTTTGAGATTCAGGAAATATGCCAAAAGAGTGTTTAACAAAATTAAACCATATTTTTTTCTCTCCAGATAAACAGCCAAATTTCTTTAAGATGGACGAGCGTGATGTTGTCGTGCTGGACAGGTACGACTTCTACTCAATCATGCACTACTCCATGTACGCTTTTAGCAACAATAATCTGACTACTATACAGCTGAGCGACAGCTCAGTTGATACCTCCAGGATAGGACAGCGTGTCAACCTCACAGCGCTCGACACCATCAAAATACGTAAACTATATAATTGTGGTGAGTACCAACACATGATTATAGGCATTTTACTCTCTTTCTTGCCTAACTTAGTGGCGTATTTGTTTCCAATTGTGTAAATTGTTTAGCAAATACCTTTCCTAGTACTCCTTAGGCAATCTTTATTAAAACCAGTTACATAAAAATATAACACTGACATCATTACAATTAATTTTGCTTAAACAATTTTCTGAATGACAAATTATATACAAAATAAATGTATTTTGTTGGGAAAAAGCGTCACTATTAACTATTAAAAGGTAGAAAAATATTTGATAAAAATCACTTCCACTCTTAGCACGTTTCCTGATATTCTGTTTTGAATATATATATTGCGTTTCATATGTGCAAAATGAATGAATGCTTTATTTGCTTGGATATGAAATGAAAATGACTTTCATAGTGACTGTATGTTCAGTTATGGGGACCACGACTAACTTTTCAAAATATAATTCACAATTATCTCCAGCGCGTTAAGACCCGTTCAAATAAAATTGACATTTTGTTCATTCAAATAACCTTAAATGTAAATATGTGTTTCCACCAAATACACATGTAACATATATTGTTTTGTAGATAAAAAGGAATGCGAAAACCCAGGAGTTCTCAAGAATGGAGGTATATCTAAAGACGATATAAGTATAGGGTCGAGGATAACATACAAATGTAACGATGGTTTTGTTTTGATTGGTCCATCCGAGCGGATTTGCACTGACAACGGGACGTGGACAGGGGATACCCCAGTCTGTCTGGATCCCACCAAAGGTGATATATCAAGAAGTTAGGTACACTGCAGCCATGTCTCTTTTAACAACATAGGATAGGTCAGTCACCTAGCTTACTCCGTAAACACACTTTACCTCGAATTTGTCAAACACTCAGTTTATCTTTGATGCGTCGATCACCCAGTTTATCTTGGATGTGTCGATCACCCAGTTTATTTTTGATGTGTCGATCACCCAGTCTATCTTTGATGCGTCGATCACCCAATTTATCTTTGATGCATCGATCACCCAGTCTATCTTTGATGTGTCTATCACCGTGTTAATCTTTGATGCATCGATCGCCCAGTTTATCTTTGATGCGTCGATCACCCAGTTTATCTTGGATGTGTCGATCACCCAGTTTATTTTTGATGTGTCGATCACCCAGTCTATCTTTGATGCGTCGATCACCCAGTTTATCTTTGATGTGTCTATCACCGTGTTTATCTTTGATGCGTCGATCACCCAGTAGATCTTTGATGCATCGATCACCAAGTTTATCTCTGATGTGTCTATCACCGTGTTTATCTTTGATGCATCGATCACCCAGTTTATCTTTGATGCGTCGATCACCCAGTTTATCTTGGATGTGTCTATCACCGTGTTTATCTTTGATGCGTCGATCACCCAGTTAATCTTTGATGCGTCGATCACCCAGTTTATCTTGGATATGTCTATCACCGAGTTTATCTTTGATGCGTCGATCACCCAGTTTATCTTGGATGTGTCTATCACCGTGTTTATCTTTGATAGGTCGATCAGCCAGTTTTTCTTGGATATGTCTATCACCCAGTTTATCTTGAATATGTCTATCACCTAGTTTATCTTTGATGCGTCGATCACCCAGTCTATCTTGGATATGTCTATCACCGTGTTTATCTTTGATGCGTCGATCACCCAGTTCATCTTGGATATGTCTATCACCCAGCTTATCTTGGATATGTCAATCACCCAGTTTATCTTTGATGCGTCGATCACCCAGTTTATATTTGATGCGTCGATCACCCAGTTTATCTTTGATGTGTCTATCACCGTGTTTATCTTTGATGCGTCGATCACCCAGTTAATCTTTGATGCGTCGATCACCCAGTTTATCTTGGATATGTCTATCACCCAGTTTATCTTGGATATGTCTATCCCCTAGTTTATCGTTGATGCATCGATCACCCAGTCTATCTTTGATGTGTCTATTACCGTGTTTATCTTTGATGCGTCGATCACCCAGTTTATCTTGGATATGTCAATCACCCAGTTTATCTTGGATATGTCTATCACCTAGTCAGTCTTTGATGCGTCGATCACCCAGTTTATCTTTGATGCGTCGATCATCCAGGTTTTTTTATGCGTCTATCAACCAGTTTATCTTTGATGCGTCGATCAATCAGTTTATCTTTGATGCGTCGATCAATCAGTTTATCTTTGATGTGTCGATCACCCAGTTAATCTTTGTTGCTAGGATCACCAAGTTTATCTTGGATATGTCTATCACCGTGTTTATCTTTGATGCGTCGATCGCCCAGTTTATCTTTAATGCGTCGATCACCCAGTTTATATTGGATATGTCTATCACCGAGTTTATCTTTGATGCGTCGATCATCCAGGTTTTTTTATGCGTCTGTCAACCAGTTTATCTTTGATGCATCGATCACCCAGTCTATCTTTGATGCGTCGATCGCCCAGTTTATCTTTAATGCGTCGATCACCCAGTTTATCTCTGATGTGTCTATCACCGTGTTTATCTTTGATGCGTCGATCACCTAGTAGATCTTTGATGCATCGATCACCAAGTTTATCTCTGATGTGTCTATCACCGTGTTTATCTTTGATGCGTCGATCACCAAGTTTTTCTTGGATATGTCTATCACCCAGTTTATCTTGGATATGTCTATCACCTAGTTTATCTTTGATGCATCGATCACCCAGTCTATCTTTGATGTGTCGATCATCCAGTTAATCTTTGATGCATCGATCACCCAGTTTATCTTTGATGCGTCGATCACCCAGTTTATCTTGGATATGTCTATCACCATGTTTATCTTTGATGCGTCGATCACCCAGTTAATCTTTGATGCGTCGATCACCAAGTTTATCTTGGATATGTCTATCACCGTGTTTATCTTTGATGCGTCGATCATCCAGTTAATCTTTGATGCATCGATCACCCAGTCTATCTTTGATGTGTTGATCATCCAGTTAATCTTTGATGCATCGATCACCCAGTCTATCTTTGATGTGTCGATCATCCAGTTTTTTTGATGCGTCTATCACCCCGTTTATCTTTGATGTGTCGATCATCCCGTTAATCTTTGATGCATCGATCACCCAGTTTATCTTTTATGCGTCGATCACCCAGTTTATCGTTGATGCGTCGATCAATCAGTTTATCTTTGATGTGTCGATCACCCAGTTTATCTTTGATGTGTCAATCACCCAGTATATCTTTGATGCGTCGATCACCCAGTTTATCTTTGATGCGTCGATCACCCAGTATATCTTTGATGCGTCGATCACCCAGTTTATCTTTGATGCATCGATCACCCAGTTTATCTTTGATGCGTCGATCACCCAGTTTATCTTTGATGCGTCGATCACCCAGTTTATCTTTGATGCGTCGATCACCCAGTTTATCTTTGATGCGTCGATCACCCAGTTTATCTTTGATGCGTCGATCACCCAGTTTATCTTTGATGCGTCGATCACCCAGTTTATCTTTGATGCGTCGATCACCCAGTTTATCTTTGATGCGTCGATCATCCAGTTTTTTTGATGCGTCTATCACCCAGTTTATCTTTGATGTGTCGATCACCCAGTTTATCTTTGATGCGTCGATCACCTAGTTTATCTTTGATACGTCGATCACCCAGTTTATCTTTGATGCGTCGATCACCCAGTTTATCTTTGATGCGTCGATCACCCAGTTTTTCTTTGATGCGTCGATCACCCAGTTTATCTTTAATGCGTCGATCACCCAGTTTATCTTTGATGCGTCGATCACCCAGTTTATCTTTGATGCGTCGATCACCCAGTTAAACTCGGATATATTTATCACCGAGTTGTTTTGGATATTTCAATCACCAAGATTTGTTTTAGATATGTTGAACACATCTCGACGTTCTCTCTGAATCTGAAGTTTTGGATTGGAAAGAAGGATTGTTTTAATTAGGGAGAGAAACTTGGTACAGTAATCGTAAGCCCCGTAAACCGCTTTTAAGGATCCCTGCACTACTGCCAAAATATGGAAATATGCAGTAGGAACTGTTTTTACCGGTACGACTCTGGCTTTGGTAATCGTATCTGGAAAGATACAATACCTAACCGGACTTAAACGACAAGAAATAAATACAGATTAAATAGAAATAGATCATTAATAACCGTGTTCTGATTGTACACACTCTGGAACTCGGATTGATGCTATAACAAATTGAGCTACTTAGTCAACGGGAGTGCTTTTATCCAATTGCGCAAAGCGAAATTAAGGGGAGGTGACTTTATAAAGGAAAATCCACAGTGGGATATATAGTGTATCCTTGGAATTATTTAGATATTCTTTTTAGAATATACGCTACATTAATATTTATCTTCATTGGTATTTCTATGACATATCGTGCGTTTCTGTCTTCGTTCAGGCAACTACCATTACTGTAATTTCGACAATTCGTCAGTATGTGGATGGCATGGTAATTGGACATGGACCAGCTTTCCAACACCATTGCAGCATACCGGACCGACTTGGGACCATACATGGGACAGTAGTATAGGTAACATAAAAACCAAAGAACATATAAAACTATAACGCACAAACGATCATTTGATGTTGCAAGCGTATGATTAATATAATAAATAAAAAAAATCTGATTTGATACCCCCAAAAATGTTATATAATGTCCCATCGAAAACATAATATCATTGAAAACTTATACTCATGTTAAAATTTCTGTTTTTATAAGAAGCAACTAATGGTCACCAGATATGCGATGCCATCTACAAATATTATAAACATGGATGCAAGGACAATGATTTGATCAATGGTTTCTAGTATAACTCACACGACTGTGATTCTGATTTGTTTTGCCATATATTGAACGGTAACTTAATAAACCCCTAAAGCCCCATACACCGACAACGTGCACATGCGTACATGTATTATGTTGAGTTAATGATTATACTATGTAAGTGGCGGAGCAATTACAAAACTGATTAGTATGAATACAAACATGATTTTCATTATTATTTGCAAGCAAGATAATATAATAAATAATATCTGTTTTATCTATATCTGTTTTCTATATTTAGTTATGAACGGAAAAGTGTTCTAAATACAACGTTGTTGGAAACTACAGGATACATGTGAAATATGACAGGTGTCAATGTGTTTGTTTTTGTGAAATGAATATCAAAATTTGCTTTGGAACATCAAAAACATTCCTCTTAATAATTTCAACTTGGTGCACATCTCTATACAATATTCTAACAGACTTCTGACTAGACTTAAATACAATGACCTTATCACAGAAACATTTGTAAAAGATTTGCACGAACATTTTAAAAGTCCAAGCATTTGCCTTTTTAATGTGATGAGAGAAGTTAAGATTAAAGGATAACCAAACTCCGAAGTCTTTAATACACGTGACCTTGGTTAAGAATTCGCCTCCCATGAAATACGAACATTGGATAGGTTTGCAGTTCTAGTAAAAAGATATAGCATAGCAACTCTTAAAGTTAACCTGCATATGCCACATTTTGCACTACTAAATATTCTATCAATGTCATGTTGTAATTCTTAACAATCAAACATAGAGGATACAGTTTTAAAAAATATACTATCATCTGCAAACATAAAACAAGTAGAGTGTTTCAAAACTGCAGGCAAGTCATTGACAAAAGTTAAACAAAATAGCTTGGGCCCAAGAATTGATATCTGCGGACACCGGAAGCAGCATCGACATTATTGTTGCCAATACATATACATACTGTTGTTTCTTTCTCAGGAGCGTTCGTTTATGCCAGGGGTGAAGTCTTGCAAGAGCATAACACTCTACATATTATCTCCCCTGCTGTTCCAAATAGAAACGTCGACTACTGCCTAACGTAAGACCTAGTCACACGTGTTGTCACACGCCTCTCTCGTCTTCGTCTGTCGTAGCCATTAAAAAGAGGCTAGAATTTATTTTTTCTACAAAAATAAGTTCATCATGGTTCACTGAAGCAATAAAGTTGGCCCCTCTCCTTTCTGATCCACAATTCAGAATAGTGTTCACTAAAACATCTTTATCAAACAATGTAATTGTTATATCTTACAATTGTTCAATATGGCAAATAACGATTTTTCCCACGCTCATTTGTGTATCAATAGATTAAACGGGTGTGTAACTGTAAAAACAGACAGCTATGCATGCAATAACCTTATCTAGTGTCTAACGTACAGTTTTGTAATGCATTAAATCAAAAGATTATATTTATTCTGGATAAAAGTAGCGTTCATCAGAGGAATGTTCTGTTCAAAGGTTCACGTCATCGATGCACGGTGAAATGATGGGAATCCTGAACGTAAGTAGTATTTCGTGTGGCGACACCGTGCAGCTTCAGTCGTGGCAGGGTGACCAGGGCGATAGATGGAACAGAATCAAGCTGGAGGTCAAACTAGCATGTGTATCAGAAAGCTTTCAGGTACAAACTAATTTAACTAGATAAAACTCAGAATTTATCTATATATAGTCTGCCATTGAAAAAGGGAAGTTATGGAGCGGTAACCAAATAAGATTCATGGTATAGATTATGACTGACCTTAGCTGTTGTCAGATTGATCTACAATATTAGGTGTTTACCATTCAACAATTACTATTGTACAACTTTATAGATCCTGGTAAAGAAACAGTTAGATAAAGATGAAAGGACAGCTTGGAAAGAATCAGCCAATCATTTTTTTTACTGATCTAGACGGGGAATCCTAAAATACCGAAGTGTCAGCCTCTAACAAATTGGAACTATTTTGTCAAGTTTGGTGCAATTTTGACAAATATCGAAAACCACTTCGCTATCAGCTATGCAAAATTGCTCCATCAATACAATTTATCAATATACATTCACATATTTATAACACAGCAAGTACTGAGGTTGTTGTATCCTGTCCCAAATAGTCCGCGTCGACAGTAAAACTTAATTTGTGATAGAATTGTTACCTACCAACTCCATACATCCGGAAAAGATATCGAAGATTACTAAGTTTAGAATATATGCATGATTCTGAATCACAAGATATTTATTTTTACACTACTTGACACAAAATCAAACATTGTGAACCATTCCAGATAGCATTCGAGGCTGGGAAGGGCCAGTCGACAGAGAGCGATATTGCGATAGACGACGTCCTAATAGGCGACTGTACCACCATCCAGAGTTTTTTGGAAGATCAGGAATTTAACGCCGAGGGAACAAGTGAATATCTCTACAATCCCTGGCCTCCTGCTACCTAAGTCCCCAGGCGACTGTTGCTCATCGGAGGACGGAAACGTCTCAATTTATTGAAATTGTAAATTTTTGTCTGTGATAAATAAATCTTATTCTTACACATTATTTTTGTATGGTGTCATGCATATTAAAATTTCAAGCATAAGAGTTATTTTAGAAATACACTAAAAGAAGATTGCACCATTTCCTCCGATGAACAATAGAGTCTGGGAACTAGTGGTAAGGACAGTATCATATATATTGCACACGTCCCAATTTTACATCATTGGCTTTAATGTTTGGTAATACACAATGGTTCAGTAAGGATTTTAATCTTTCATATGAATCTTTGTCCACTTTATTCGAGCTTTAGAATTTGAAATGTCATCACCAGTTGCTTACAATTTCATTTTTGGCAGCTGTATCTATAACCTTCAGGTGTAGTGCCACGTGTTTAACACAACCACATGTACCGTTTTGTATCAACTGTACGTAGTTTATCAAGCTCACAAAGATTTATAAATTGAGTACGTTGCAACGCTATGCACTTATTTGAAGGGCGTCATTTTATTTTTCACGTTTTTTTTATTTTTATTAAGTCATGTTATTTCCTGGGTATTTTGTTAATACACAGTTTCAAATCTTCCATACAATCGAACAAAAATGCATTAAATAACTTTCCAAAATTGCCAAGACAGAAGCCGCTGTTTTAGGTTTGCACGGGTTTTTCCGCTACGCTCAATCCATTTGCCTATAGTATTGGAAGCAAAATTTGCCAGCAAATAGCAAAGAAGCAAGAGGCCCTATTGTCCGGTGCCCGGCAACGCCCACTTGATTTACAATGCTGTTGGCAAAAACATTTCACATCTGTGACCAGCAAAATCAAAATGTATTGAAAGTTATTTGAGAACAAACATGCTAACAGTACAGGCTTGTTTCTACTGTACGTATATTACTTACAAGGCTCTCATTGTTGGTCCAATTATTTGGTGGGGAAAAAAACATGCTATCCAAGAAAATACCGGTTTAATGCCTATTTCTGTATGCCTTACCCACGTTTTTCACTCATTTGACCACTGAAAAATGTAAGCCGACGTCAAACGGACAGATGGATGCCGCGCTAAGGGCCTGCTGAGCTAAAAAAAAAATATCACGCGAACGTCGCAAACATGGATGTGGTTGGGGATACATAAAAATCACATATGGCATATAAAAGGTTTCGCCTTCTTTTTGACGACGATACGGACGTATAGGCACAATTGGCAACGCATTCCTCCGCTCCATAGATTGTGTTCGTTATCAACTACATTCATACTACTGTATCGTCGATAAATCAAGGTTAATCTTATATTCACATCCCACAAAAGGTTTAAATGCGGCACGAGGGGGAAATGGGAAAGGGTACTACTATACGATGATAACTACATCGATATATGAGTAAAAGATAACACCAAATAATCAACACTATTATTTTCTGATGATTAAAATTAATTAAGGCGCCGATTTATTAATCGGAGTAATGATTAGAATATGTAACGTAGTGACGTGATCGAAGGTTCCAGAACCAAGTTTACGGCCGTCATTAGATTTGGAGCTTTTTAATATAACAAACTGCCGATGTGGTAATTTGAAGTAATTTGCAGTTTAAACAATATAATTCCTTTCATTGAAATTTCGTCCATCACTAACCGAAGGAAGTTTGCGACACTATGTACGTAAAATGCTGTCAGTAAAACATAAAAGTCAAAAGATTCTTATGAACTCCAATTGTGAAATATGGGATAATTAGTAATGAACAAGTAAAGCACGACAGTTAAGGTTTCATTGCGGTTCACTACATATATGTTCTATTGGCTTTTTATGCTGTGTATGAAACTAAAGTATACGTAGGCATACGGGACTACGGTAATTATCACAAGCTATATACAACCGGGAAAAAAACAAGTACATTTTAGCGGTAAATTGATCAAATGTTTCTTTTCTGAAGAATATGCATTTAAAGATAATTTCGTCAATTTTCAAATTTGATTACTTTCGTGGTATTGTAACAGACGGTGGTTGCCTTGGGAATGTTACCCTTAACCAATTCCTGATAAATAACCCATAAGCTGTTTTAACTTAATATCATTACCACTGATCCCATCGAGTTCGAGGTATTTCAGCCAAATCTGCAAGCAATACCTACGTTAGATGGGGTTATTTTTAAGTAATTTGCAGCTTAAACAGTATAATTCCTTACATTAAAATTTCGTCTATCACTAACTAACCGAAGAAAGTTTGCGTCACTATGTACGTAAAATGCTGTCAGCAGAACATAAAAGTCAAAAGATTCTTATGAACTCCAATTGTGAAATATGGGATAATTAGTAATGCACATGTAAAGCTTTAGGTGTGCGTTTTTAGCCAAACCTGCAGCAGTTTCTGCGTTTGATGAGCAACGTTGGTTAATTTATGTTGATCTGCGCACTTCCCAGTATTTCAGTCCAGGTTATTCCACATTACTCGGTTACCGAGTAGTTTGTCAAAACGTTCCGTGTAAGTGATTCACGACTTTACCTCGAAACGTTTTCATGATGCTCATAAGATTACGCTGACTAAGAAAAGAAAGGGGAAATTTAAACATTTTGGTTTTCCCGGTAATATTCTTGTGCAACATTTACTGCGCTGCTGTGGCGTTGTTGTGCAAATGGTTGACACCTTTTATTCTTACTCTTTCCTTTTGTGAGGACAAGTATTCGAAGATCTTGTGATCAATCTTGAACGTCCTCTTCTAAAAACTGGTTCTTATATCATTGTTTTTGGAATTTTCGACCCTTCACACCACCATGCCTTATACTAAAATGGAGAAACGCCTTCATTTTCTTATCACGAGTTTACTTTTCTAAGAAAGGCGAAAGGCGATTTGAATATTATTTTGGAGCATATCGTGCGACACCCACAACCAAGGCCAATATGATACTGAGGACAATATTTGGAGAATTATCTAGTTTCTGGATGGCAATATCTTTGTTGAGCAGTGTTAAGATTCTGCAGCAGAATTAAGGCGGTGCTGTAGAAACAAACTATGCCCCTCTTCCGGCTCATTTCCTTCTGTTTTCAGATGAAGCTGAATTTGTTGATGAGCATATCAGGACTGGTAGTAAAAACATTTCAAAATCCTTTAATTCCACATTCAGATTCATCAACGGTGGTCTGTCTTTAAATAATTTAAAAATTATTGGCAGGCTTCATCGATCGTATAACATAAAATGTATTGGCAGGCTACATCGATCGTATATACCCTCTATGCAGTCTTTAAATAACATGAAATTTATTGGAAGGCTACATCGATCGAAAATACCCTCTTATGCTGTCTTTAAATAATATGAAATTTACTTCAGCCGCTTTCCTTGATGTTTACTAACTACATGACTACTAGGAACGGCTACCCAGCGTTTATATGTCACAGTTAATTCAGTGTTCATGGGTTTGTTCCAAATATCATGACGGGACAAACTTACTACGTCGGGTTTGAAGACTATGGACAAGTTTCCTGGTTGTCATCCTGATATCATAATGGAACATGCTATTGTTTGTGCGATATGAAGGTCAATATTTTCATTATGCTTATATGTTTGTGGATTGGTATTTTTCACTTCAAGACTTCTTGATGTTCTTTCGTGTTGTCATTTGTACTCTCGTATCAGCAACAGTCACCTGTCCGTAGGAAAAGTACATGATTCATGCTCGTTATAAACCAGCCATGGATTAATGGAGGATGATCGAATTCCTGTTACCCAGGACTGTCTATATGATGATTTTAAAATTGCATTTGAAAGTTTTAACTTTGTGCTGCTCATTTTGACGACTTGAACGTGTCTCGAAGTACCTTGCGTCTTTTTCGGGTTATCGAATGCGGGATCTATCGGACCGATTTTTGTCGTTTTATCCAACTACACTTGTGTTCCCCAAAGAGAGCATTTCAGAAAGATATTAAATTAAGCTTTGTTGTAACCATTTTGAAGAATAATTAAGTGTATGATAACATAACTATTACAGCATTTCTGGTATTAAAATGAAACAGACATACTTATAAATGCCTCTTTAAGAAAATTCAATAATTGGATAAAGCGAGATTACAGGAACCGTAAATAGTTTGTTGTGCATGCTAAGTTCTTGCAAACAACAGAAGATAGAATACCTTTCCAAATGCTTTTTAAGTTAACATATCAAAATCACGAAATGTATACCATCTTGTGTCTTCGAATGAGTTTAGATGTATTAATCGTTTCTTTTTGGCATACACTGTATTTGATAACATATAATATGTCCGATCAGTTTCTTAAACTAGAAAAAAAGCTAATGTACTGAAAAACCGATGCCAATAGTTTATTAGATACTTTTCACATGATACTTTTGATCTAAATGCGCGGACCAAGCGACACCCGTGTTTGTTTCCCAAGACATCAAACTTAATGCTATAAATATTATAACATTTGATTGAACTTCAGCCTTATATGTGTTAGCCGTTTCTAAAACACGAATCGCTTCATATTGCAATACGCATTCTTACATATGGAATAAGCGAACTATCTCCATGGGTTTGCCGATTTTGGAACAAATACACAAAGAAATATTATTCCTTTCAATTTTATTCAGAATCGAATTACTGTAACTTCACGGCTACACTATGCAAATGGATCCAGAGCAGCGACGACGATTTTGATTGGATATTACAAAGTGGACCTACCCGAACCTTTGGAACGGGACCCGATTGCGACAGAACCAACTGTTCCTATGGTAACTCCTCAGGATCATCGTTATCTGCTCTCCATCTATGGTTATTCTTCATAAGGTTGTGTATTAAGAGCATAACTTTATAGATACTTTACATTTGTTCTTTGGATTTATTCAATGCAATTGCGTAAATATATTGGTCGTACTTACTTATTGTCGCCAGGCCAGGATTTGTTACATCTGGTAGTCGGATCAAGACAGTAAATGATGTTTGTCTACTTTTCTCTAGGTTATTACATATATATTGAGACATCTGGACCACGCGCAGAAGGTGATGTGGCAAGACTATCCTCAATTCTGCTTAAGGTAAAATTGACTAGCTGCGCTAACAAATTTGTCAAAATGTCAGCATGATAAAGATAACGCCTAGCAGTATGAGTCATGTTCTTTTAAGCTGACCGGACTTTCAATAAAGCTTACATGTTCCTGTCGAGATATAATAATTAAACATGACTAGAGGAGCGATACAAAACAAAGTAAGGCAGGGGTAAATTGAGTAAGTCAATGTGTTTGGCAGAGAAAAATTGTATGAAAATATCAAAACAGTGCCAAATGAAGGTTAAACATGCATGGATTACTTGCTGAATACAAATTTGTTCTCATAATGTCATGCATTCTGGTAAATTATATCTTAATTGTTATTGAAAAGTGATACTTTTAGTGCCGAACCCTCACTTATTAATGCTGTGGTAAGCATACAATCTAGCTTTAAGTCACAAAAGAAACATAACATGCATATCAGATGAGAATATCAGCTGCAGTAATGAAGCCCACATGTGCAATAACCTTGGGTCCTTTTTAACTTCCTATTCTGAAAGAGTCACTGCTTATCCTTACAGGACAATTGGTCTTACTGTTATTCCTTCTACTACAATATGTACGGGGAAAGCATAGGGACTTTATCTCTACTGAAAAAGACGTCTACAAACGAAACGACGCTCTGGAATAAAACGGGAAACCAGGGAAAAGGCTGGACGAGAGCATCTGTAGAATTCATCACATTAATCAACGAGACGGTAAGCATTCTTTAGCGTTGACTTTCTTTTAAACATTGCACTCTAGATGATACACGCAAACAAACGAACATAATAACTACAAATTGTATCAAGAAATTGAAGGTAAAACTATGGGACACTTTCATCTGCTATATAACTGTATATCTTAGTTGGTGATTCAAGCAACAAGAGGCCGTGGATACAGGGGAGACATTGCTGTTGATGACTTTGAATTAATGTCAGGAAAGTGCAGGAAAGGTAAGGGAATGTAACAATGCTAACACTCGTGAAAATTGGAGAGAACGTTTTTCACACCCGATACAGCAAAATAGGGCATATACGCCACACAGATATACGATATGTTACAACAGATATTACTCTGTTAAAAAGACCATATTTTACTATTATCACAGAATTGATTAACAATCCATAATCACTACCATAGAAGCTGAGTCGGATTGCAATAAGCGTGCACCTGCAGTTAAGCTTATGTTTAAGCTTAACAACTTATCCTTTACATCATTTACATACCATTTTCAAACAAAAACATGATAGTCATTTATATATAGTCTTACTGATCGTCTGGGGAACAGGTAAATAATATCTATTTTGGGGTAAATTCGTTCTAGTTGCTAACCACTTACAGCATAACCCTTGTTAAACTTTCAACCTGATAACCCTTGGTAGAATGTGAACATTTTTAGAAAAGTACATACTTACATAAAGGCAAGCCATCGCTTTCGAGTTCGATATTTTCACAATCTAAAAAGTAAAGTTACTTCATTTTTTCACTGCAATTATCTTTTCTTATTTCTTTTATACCTTATATCATTTAATTTGAGAGGTTGTAGACGATTTTGTACTTTGAACGGCAAAAAAAAGCTAAGCCATTGAGATGTGTTATGAAGCGCGTATAGATGGGCAAAAAAATGTTCCATATAACGAATGTTTAAACAAATCGGCAAAACCCATTTGTAATACGATACAAAAATAAAAATAAATCCGATAAATGACCATTACTTGCGTTTCAGTTTTCGATTGCGATTTTGAAGACGATTTCTGTACCTGGAGAAACCAAAATACGTCCGACATGTTCGATTGGCTCAGACACAGGGGCCCTACGAATACCCCTAGGACTGGTCCAACTCGGGACCACACGTCCGGGGATGGTTAGTGAGTCCAGTAAACCATATGTATTATAGACATTTCTAACGTACAAGTCAGCCTAAAGGGACACTTTGGTTTGTTTGTGTTTTACGTCCTATTAATGACTATGGTCATTTTAGGACGTGTTAGGTTTTGGGACGCTAGCTACCATAAATGGTATTGATCAATGAGATGCAAACAGTATGTTCTTACACTAAAGATATACTACAAGCAATAACTATGTTTCATCAATGTAACATTTTGGGCAAATATGCAAAATCTTCTTTTCAGCAGAAATCAAATTTTTGATAAGCCTGCTGAAATTTGAAATTAAAAGTGAAAAGTAAAAATGCAACATAGAAAATTTTAAATGAATTGTTACTAGAAATATGTCTCTACAAATGGAATTCATAGGAAAGAATTCACATATTTTACATTATTTGCTTCATTTGAACTTCGGAGGATTTGAACAAATGGTATGCTAAAATATATAATACGGTTTTGTATACGATATATAAACTTAATATATGTGAAACCAATATTTGTATAAAAACTAGCCACTACTAAATTTCAGTTGTAATTCTAGAGAATCATACTTGTTTAATGAGGAAGGGACGTGAATAAGTAAGTATAATTAAAGGTCAACGACATCACTCAATGTCTTATTATCTTAACATACCGAAAGACCCATACAAATTATTTTCTCAATTCAAGAAAGATTACGTGATGTATGCAGAAAATCGAGACTCTTCCAATCTGACACGACTATTGTTCCTTGTCCTTACCAGCCTTGTTGTGTATTCGATATAGTCATAAATATACTAAAAGTATGTTTTGTTGTCCTAGCGTTTGAAATGTTTGATTGAACAATACAATTTTGACAGGTTTCTACATCTACATAGAAACATCATCCCCGCGAGTCACAGCCGATACAGCTCGGCTAACCACCGATTTCCTTTCGCCATCTTCTTGGGGTTACTGCATCAGGTTTTGGCTGTTTATGTATGGAAAGGAAGTGGGGAGTTTACGACTAATTACAAAAGATCAAAATGGCAACGAGACAATAAATTGGAGTTTAACCGGTGAACAAAGCAACGTGTGGGAATCTTATTCCGTGTTTTTACAAGCATCTTTCTTCAAAACTCAGGTGAGTACACTTCCCTTGGTTAAAATACAAATAAATGAAACATAGCTGAAAAAGACGCTAATCTGACATTCACTAAATATAAATTATATGATGCTTTTCGAGGTTCGCAATATAATACAAACAAGCAAGAAATGCCAGAAAGCACGTTGTATGTATACAAATATGAATATATTGTGTAGTAACAAGTGAAAATGATTATTCTAACAACTACTCGCTAGCAGCATTGAAAGAGAACGATAAGAGTTTATGTAACTTTTAGAAGATAACATTGAGGAAAGAAAGGGTTTCCACTAAACAGCTTTTATTTAAGTATCTTCGGTCCAGATTGGTAAGGGAAGTGAAACAACCGCATTTTGTTGGAAGTGGTATATTTAGACATGGAGCGACATCTTAGTTGCCGTGACATGCAGACAATGAATTCATATTTTTGTTTATATCTGCAAAAAAGGTCCCGAAACCAGCAGCATTTATAACTTCCTCAATGGCACATACAAGCTTTTCAATCGCCTGTGCTATTCTATACCGCTCCCATGCACATCAAAATTTAACCTTATAAACTATTCCCTTAAAATGTGTCCAGTGCTTTGTTTTACAACTCTCGTGTGTACTGCATTTCATTTCGCCTTTTGAAAACATATCTTGGCGAAGGAAATGCATTTAGAAATTTCCGAAAGACTACAAAATAGGTACCTGAAGGTGGTAGGATTTGTAAATATAAAAAAAAAATCCGAATAAATACAACCCAATTACGGCTGAAATATAAGATATTTTTGACACTTGGTTGGTCAAATAACCTCCCCTATGTATCGCCTGTATTTAAAATGATAAGTACAAGTACAAATTCAGCGATACCATTTTACATATGGAGTCGCTTCAGTAATTGTTTATTTCATTGAATAATAACGAAGTCTCGGTAAATATTGTAAACGAACAAATGTATATCAAAATACGAATGCTTAATCTGCGAGTGTTTTGAACTGTTAGTATAATGAGACATTAATGACTGTACACACATCGTATTAACGTAAAAGTCTCTCTGGAGCGTTTAAACAACTTCTCTAACGAACATGTGCCTACGGTCAACGACTTATTGTATGATATTGAACTAAAACTTTTTTCTCTCCTAGATAATCTTTGAAGGAGAGGTGGGATCATCATATCGAGGCGACATTGCTATAGATGACGTTTCTGTACAAGAAGAAAATTGTTTCTCCTGAAAAAGAGCAGATACACAGAAAATAGCCGTTGTATTCAGAATGCTGAGGAAATCGTTGGCTTTCATAAAATTATCTGGATAGCTATATAAATAATAATTAAACCTTTTAGTGTCATTTCAATCGTTCGTACTGTTAATCTTTGTTACTTGTTTAATTATATTAACGAGTTAAAATCGTAGAACATCTGCAATTAATAATAGCGATAGTTTAGGGTCTCTACATTCCTTAAGGCATAATGTCGTTTAAAAAACACATTCGTAAATCCTGATGAAAAAATAGATTCAGATGCTATCGAATATGAAAAAATATGACAAAAACGTTGAAATAGCTGCAAAAGAAACACTACTCATAACTTCCTGGAGTGAAGAAAATAAAACGACGATCGAATTCAAACAGAAACATGTTCCTTCTTAATCGTTTGATATTACTAACTGTATGCCATTCCATTTAAATACTGTAATTCTGAAATTTAAAAGACATCTACTTTTGAAAGTACTAGGAAAATACTCAAGTACTTGGAGTTATTATGTTTCTATACATAATGTTTATGTAGTACATTGTATTAATCGAATACTGTTTCTCCTCACTTCTTTTTATTTCTAACGCATCACTCGCATAACTCTTTTTCTGAGTGTCGCAAATGTTTATAGAAAGGTTTTAATAGGATATACAGTCAAGCGAGTATTACTGCTCAGATACAAATACAAAGTCAAGTGTTATTTTTCTTTCACAATGCAAATAAAGTGAACTGCTGAAATAAAGAAGAACCTGATTGGTGTATATGGTTTTGTATTGTACCGTGTAGCTTGCAGAAATCATCCTTTTTTTAAATACCTTATACCTGACTGGACGCGCTATATTCCATCAAACGTGTGTAACTAGAACTTGCATTTTATTCCGAGAGAATAAATTTGGTATCATATAACGTAGGACAACATCGTATCCAAACCCTGGAATTTTAAGTAATGAGAAAGAATAAATAGCTTCTACATTTAATCCACAAATCACAATACATGAATATACATAAAGGTTACATACTACATTGAGATATGAGCATTTGTAGTTCCTATTTGAAAAAAAACACCTGGTAGTATTGATTTAATGAATGCTGAAAGTGACGTAATTCTCATGTTTATCATCATAATACTCATGCAAAGGGACAACATAGGTACTATGCCGCTATTTATTAGCTGTTCACATCAAACAATATAGAGAATTACTTCGTACACAAGTGTCTGAAAACGCATAATAGAAAAAGCGTTACATGAAGAATACAATTTCATACAGAAAGACTGTCTTTAGCAAAATGTTATGAGTGAACAAAAGCGAAATTCAAACGTGCTTCATACCGGATTTAAACAAGTTTGTATGTGTTGTTAATATTAACATAACTATTTACTGATGATGTTGAAAACGATGATTCTCTGTTGATGATTTGTTTCGAAGACACTGAAAAATAATTGTTTGCTTTGAAAGACCCTGAAAAAGTAATATAGGTACGAATTCCAAAGTAGGTAGCTGAAAAAGAATCCCTGCATGAAAAAAATGCCTCGAAAGCATTCTCTTTTCCACAATAGAAATAATTTGTATTACAGCTATCTATATATTAGTATGAATAACATAATTCACTGAAAATAACACCAAATTTCCCAAACAGTTGTACCTAAAACATATTTCTGCACCTGTCAATCATGCACATGAATAATATACAATAGCGATTTAAAACTTTCATTTCTTGCAACAACTTTATATTAGTGTTACAAAAATGCTTAGTGTCCGACTTCTAAATTTGTGGAGTTTTTTTAATCTGAAATGGAAGTTAAACATCAAATTGTTAAGAGTAAAAGTGTAAGTGTGTTCACATTTGACATTTTTTTTTAAAAAGGGCGTTTCATAGAACGTTTATATAAAATGAGCCTTTCAACAATTGTTTGACGAGGACAGTTGTCAAATTGTTTTCATAAAAAGAATTCTTATTCAGGAAGAAAACAGATGTTAAAAACAAAGGAGGATAATATTTTTTTTAATATTATTTTTCTAAGGGTCATTTGTTGAGAGACCAAACACGCACCTCAATATTGTTCTTCGTCAGTAACTATATCAAAGCAAAAAAGAAATGCCTCAAAACATGTTCTAAGAGTAATAATGTCTATTTACAAACTGATCGTATCAATGATTGAAAAAATCGATAAGGGATGTACAATGCATAATGAAATATTGGCATGACAACTTAAACTACAATACTATCATAATTTACAAATGTCTGTTAAAATGTCCACCTGGACCACCAGGACCACCAGGTCTGGGTCCTCGCATCATTCCACCTCTCTGATTAAATCCTCCTCGCTGTCCGAAAGGAGGTCTTCCACCACCTCTCATCCCGCCATCAAATGGATTTCTAGGTCTGAACGGCCGCGGTCCACCAGGGCCACCTGGACCTCCTGGTCCACCCGGGCCCCCGGGACCTCCTGGGCCCTTACCTCGTCCAGGTCCTTGGAATCTTTGTCCCGGGCCTTGCTGTCCTCTGAAAGGAGGTCTCTGACCTGGATGGCCCCTTGGACCAGGTCCTCCCATCAAGGGTTGTGGGCGCCCTCCATGACCTCCTCTTCCTCCTTCGAATCCTCCCCTGCCACCATCAAAACCTCCCCTTCCCCCATCAAAGCCGCCTCTGCCTCCATCAAAACCCCCTCTTCCACCATCGAAGCCTCCCCTGCCCCCATCAAAACCACCTCTTCCACCACCGAAGCCACCTCTTCCTCCACCTGGACGATCATCCTGCATCCCGTATCTACCGCCAGGTCTTTCCTGGTTAGGTGGACCACGTTGATTTCCCATACCTGATCTGTGGTCGTTAAAATTTTGCTGGTTGGGTTCTTGCTGCCCGTCAAAATCATTTGAAGAAAAACTATCTCGTTTATTTTCTTGGTGCTGCCATCTTGGACTGTCCAAACCAGGACGGCTACTTTCCTCAGGCTGTGACGGCATATCCATACTTTGAGTTGACGACTCGCCTTCTGCAGAAGGAGATGGTGGTTGATCATCTGACGGTGTATCCCATTTACTGGGTCTTCTCCTTTCACGTTTAGGTTTATCAGATTCCTCTGCTTTGAGGCTTGGTTTACTAGAGGAGTCTTGACTTCCTCCACCATCACTACTAGTTTCACGTCTTACATCTGTGGATTCAACACCAAAATTTCCAAACTGACCTCTGTCAGCTTCAAAGTTATCCTGTTGCGGTCTACTCCTGGTGTTATCAACATTCGGATTTTGTCTTTGTCCAGAATATTGCTTCTGCCCCCCATACTGATTCTGACGGTCAGATCTGTATGAATTTGGTTCCTCTTGTCGTCCATACGTTTCGCGTTGATGCTTTTCTTGTGGGATTTTTTTCTGTGAATCGAATGATTGTCTAGCCCCCGATGGGAATTGAGAATCATACGACTCATGCTGTCTCTGTTGGGGTTGTTTTTGTGAGAACTGTGATTCTGAGGACTGATTGCGTGATCCTGGCCTGTTATATGAGAGCTGATTTCCAAAACCTTCTTGCTTGCGAGAGGGTTGCTGTTGTTGCTGTTTTTGTGCTTGTTGTTGTTGCTGCTGCTGCTGCTGTTGTTGTGGTGGTTGTGGTTGTTGCTGCTGCCACACATTCTTCCAGCCATCTGCTAAATTATTAGACTGACGATCACCTCTGTTCAATCCAGAATCAGTCGTTTCCTGACTTTGGGACTTAGCATCCTTTTCTTGCCATCCCTGACTTCTCAAAACATCTGCAACACTTGTGTGTTCAGGGGGAGGCGGTGGAGGTTGTACAGCAGCCTTCCTCACAAAGTTTTGATCTCCAGCTACTATCAATCCTGCACCTGACATTTGACTCAATCCACTGCGATCCATGAATGCAAATTGCTGCATATTAGCATAGGCTGCAGCGGGATGTCCTAGCAATGACTGTTCACCGGGTACTTGTGGTAGTAATCCTAAACCTTGAGGAAGACCCTGAGGAAGACCTTGAGGTAAGCCCTGTGGTAAGCCCTGTGGTAAACCTTGGGGAAGACCTTGTGGCAAACCTTGCTGCAGGCTTTGCTGTTGTTCCATAAGGGCTTTAGCTTGAGCTGCAAGCCCTGCATACAGTCCAACACCACCATACTCAGCCCTTGCCCACTGATGCTCCGGTTTTGGCACAACTTGTTGTGGTCTCTGTTGAGCTGCAATAAGAGCTGCATACTGACTGAGTGCTGCTGCCTGAGGTTGCTCCTCCTCAGCATACTCTTGCTTTAGCAAGTCCAAACCACTTGCACTGGTAGCTGTGTCATACCTCACCCGTTTTTCTGCAGGTTCAGTACCTTTAGAACCATGATCACCCCTACCTCTAAAGTTTGCACCCTCTGCTGGATAGCTTCCCCTGAACTGAGCAGTGTCCTGTGGACGACCTTGACCTGGCATTGGTGGTATGTCCTGACCTCTGTATCGATCAGGGAACTGACCACCTTGACTAGGAGCTTGGTAACCTTGGCCCTGGAAGGAATAGCGAAAATATGTTATCCTTGATGTTCCCTACCAAACTAATAATGCTTTAAGATAAAATGCTTGCCGATTTTCGTCGTCATTTCTCCCCTTTTTAATTAAAACTTTTAACGTTAATGAATGTTCTGGATTTTCCCACTTTTAAAAGTAGAAAATAACTTGTCTATGGAAACCTAATACATCTAGAAAAATAAGCATTTTATCTTAAAACATTGTTCCTTTTATATTTGCTGTGAAAGGAATTAACTATAGGATTTTAATACTATTTCTACGTCCTTGACACTCTTCCTTTCTTTTATATTTTATTCCATCTCCTTTTGTGATTGATTGTTTTATCTAACTGATGACGTCAATCCTCAATTTGTGAGTGGCATGTTCTCGTTATATTTGTATGACTAAATTGAAATATTTCCTTCATAATAAACGTCGTCGAGCAAGTAATAGATTAAATATTTCTATCAAGTGTTGTACATGATGACACTATACTGCAACATATCAAACAATTATTGATTGATTGATCGATAGGTTGTACGTCCGCTTCACTACCGTCAAACAATTAATGCAAAAATGTGTATTATAGTGAGTCAGGTAAAAACCTTTTCGTCGTGTATTTTCTCAATAAAAAACGTTACAATTTTAGTGTTGAAAAGTTGGGGTGAAATTAGGGGATTTTTGTGAATTGATGACTCAAATGATGTATTTTCACTCAAAAATGTAAAACCAAATTGATAAACAAAGAGCACAATGACATCTAGAATATATAAAGTCAAAGCCAATCTATGCTAAAAAAACAATACAAATCTAAGCATGCTGAATACGTAATAAACTCAAAACCATGAAATTTCATGCAAAAATATAGTGCAAATTGTAGTTGAGTAAATGTATTGACCCTTGCCACACTACACTTGAGACAAAATAAGATACATTACAAAATCTTTCAGAATGTTCAGAAATATTTTTCAAAATTATCATGCATTTGTTCACATAAAGTTGTCACAAGGTTTTTATTAGGACTACTTAAATGAAACGGCATAAAAACAGAACACGAATTTGGTTCTACTTCCCTACAGACAACTTTTAAAATGAAATCAAGCACACTATTTATATCTACATAACTTACTAAATGATTCCGGGACAATCTATTTATCTTATTTAACTCTTATAAAAATAAGATTTATTTCTCAATCATACACAAATCAGCTATGACATGTATAAAAACAAAGCACTACCCATTTGATTCATCACCATTTAAAGGTGTTAAATGAGATATTTTGATATTTACATGGCTGAAAGCTGTCTATGTCAGTGTTGACTTCTGTAGCTTTCTTGTGGAACCTTAGTTCCCTGCCATAACCTTAATGCTGAGAGCCGTACTTGTGGTTGTACACTAGTGTTGAGTAAAACATTGGTATAATAGTGTACAAACATTCCATAAATAGGACACCAGATTGTTGATTCTGAATAGAGCGATCATGGGTAATCTATTTCTACATTTTACTTTGAAAAAAGATTAATGCATCATTTCCTAAATTGTTTTTTTTATGAAATCATATTCTGCAAAAAGAAAGATAACTTGCCAAAGTTGAGAGTTGTGTTAAGATATTTTATATGGGTGCACTGATGTTAATATAATGCAAGTCAACAGTGACAAATTAATTCGACACACTGCAAGAACTTCAGCATCTTTCAGAGTATTGCAAATAACCAAGGACTGGGATAAGGTATTCAATCCCATACAAGATTTGTAGAAGAACTAAAACCATTTTGTATCATTTCATACAGAATATGCTAGTTAAATCAATTGTTTTTATGACTGAAAAGGAATAACGAGAGCTTTGACCTTGTTCTGGAAGTCACTTTAAAACCAGTGATGGTTCAGGTACCAAGGTAACATTACACATTTATAATTGTACATAAGAAACCTATATTTTCTTTGCCTACTTTGCAATAAATAGTCATCATCACATATTTGAACCACTGACTTACAAAGCTAGTGCAATAATGCAGCTATGTTAATTATTCAGTTCAGTTATATCTAAATTCACCGTTTCTTTTTCTGTTTCATATTTGGACATCTATACCTTATACAAATCTAGACTGCTATCATTAACCAATACTAGCATTTATTTTATTTTTAATATCAGCCAACTATATTACAAAGAATTATTTCAGATTGAAGCTTTCAATAGAATTTGTTAAAGGAACATAGAATTGTACTTTCAACATATTTACAGTATCTCTGATATAAAAGTGTTCAATAAATTTAGTTATTTCAATTTTATTTTCAACTTACTGTTTTAAACTTCCAGTTTATTTTTTTAGTTAATCTTAACAGTAAAAATAAAGAGTACACCAATTTACACAAGCTTTCATTGTTATTATATTTGTTAGAGTTTAAAATTACATACAAATGTGTTCACATATTATAATTGGTGAAACTATTTTCTTCTTGCTCCAATTTATGTGATTTTTCAAGAAAAAAAACTTATTTCTTTATGTAGCATTAAGTACAGGTGACAGTGGAATCGAGATACAGTGCAGGGAGAACTTGTCGAATGAGAGTGGCCTAAACTGTTATAATACTATTATTGTAAGAATCTCATCAATACCAGTATTAGGAACATTGTCAAGGAAATTGGATGAAAACTGTGTCACAAGTCATTGGGACATTAGCACCATTTTGGAATGCTCCCAAGTACGCAAAGAGCAATTACTCTTTTCTGGAAAAGTTTCTAGTCAGTGTATGACATGCATTGTAAAACTGGTTTGATGCAAATATACTCATTGGTAGTTATATACCTGTCATGTTCCTTATTTCACACATGCCTCCAAAGTTATTTTTCATTCAATAATAATTAACCACTTCTTGCACATCATTTTGAATGCGCACAACAGGCAAACAACTTTTAAAAAGCATGATTGTGTGCGCCTTTTTTGGTACATCCTACAATACGCACACAGATGTTTTTGTTACATTGTGTAGTCACACAAGTCTACTATGATGATGGTGGTACTCAAGGTCTCAAAGACATCCAAGTGAAAGTTCATCAAACAAGTTTGAAATGCTCAAAGTACACAAAGGCAATACTTTTGTAACTGCTTTTGAATCAATATATCTAATACAAATCAACAGACGATGGTGGTGGATTCAGAGGAATGGGATAGAAATAAAGTGAAGAATTAATCCATTTTATTTAAGGACGTTATTGTTTTGAGAAAAATAGAATATGCTAACACTTTTTTAATCGAGTAAAGCAACTTTGAATTGATTTTTTCTGCAACTTGAAATCGCATAACAAATACAGTAATTTCCCCTTTAGCAAATATAAATATAGGCACGACAAAAACAACAACAGAGCACTAGATACACAACTTACGTAACATTGAAATAAATACAATTCATCAAACTTACTAAAATGTGATAACACACGAACTTCAATTGGTTACTTATATTAATTAGCAATCACTTTCAGTATACCATAAACTGATATATATGTAAGTAAATAATCTGACACTTAAAAGGGTGAATAAAAAGAACAAAGAAATATAGTGCAGTGTTTTGGGTGCATCTTAGACAAAACACTGAATAAAATTTTCAAATAAATATGAATTCCATCTCTAAGGGATATAGATGGATCTCAAAATGTGGGGGCCATTCCTAAAGGACAGGCAGGATCCAAAGACTTGAACATGTTACATCACTTTATCTTTACAGAAAGATCTTAGAGCGCTTCCTACTGGACTAGTGTGTTTTAATTGAGCTTGGGTAATATAATAAGCTTGCATATTTACTTTGAAATTTTCCAAAGCAACATCTCATGTTAATATTTAATAAACGCTTAAATGAATATACATGAAAAAAGCTAAACTAATTTCACTCTTCATTCTTCACACACTGATGACATCTTGTTTGCATATTTTTATCTGAGAACGAATGTTTGTCTTACACATCAGGTTGACTAAAAATGTATTACACAAGTTTATTATAAGTAACAAACTGAATGGCATGCAAAGGGATTTAAGTCTGTACATTTAGTGATATGATGAAATATAACAAAAGTTATTGTTGTAAGGAAAAATCAATGACGACCAGGTTGGTGCAATCATAAATGACTAAATTTCATATGAAATGTGTTTTAAACCAACAGCTGCAAATGTCCCAAATTCAGATTTAATATGTTATAATCTGAAAAAGAATCTGAATCTGAACTGCAACGAATGTCAGATCAAAGTATCACTTATCGATCCTAGATATTACTGCCATCAATACTTAGTAACCCTGTATACTGTCTGGGCACAACTTCTACTGATAAGGCAAAGAGATCACATTTTTCAAGTAACTGCATGTTGTAGGTCAGGTTAATTTTTAATCCTTATTTAATTCTTACCTAATTGATTAATTCTAGTAGTAATTATTTCTCACATTTATGTCATTTTAATAAAGAGTTTTATATTGGTGGGAAATATATATGCTGATATATTTACCTGAAACAAAATGATACCAAAAATAACACCAACTATTAGATAAAGACTACATTTGATCCATTTTCTTGTCCTCAACATTCTGTACTTTTTGCATTATGTTTTGCTTTAAAAGCAAGTGCATGCTAATGTAATGTTCAACATGAACATACTTGATCTTTAAATGACAATTCCATGAGTTGGTTATGGAAGCATATAATGGTATCACCCTTCAAAGCCAGAATAAAACGTCCCCACTATTAAAGTCACATGAAAGTTGTCATAATTTATTCTGAATGCCGTGTATGGGATTAAAAGAATTATACAAGTATTATAAATATGTACAAATAATACCAGTCATTCCTGTTAGGAGTTTAAATAAAGGGGCTTATAAAATTCCCATTCTTGAATAAAACTCTCCTAAAATGTCACAATCTTACTTTCATTGATAATTAAAATTTTAGCAGATTACAAAATTTATAAGACTATTACAGTTTATAGAGCTATCTCAATTCATCTAATATCCACTTGTTTATAAATATTAGTTATCAGGTATGTACTATGTGGAAGTCATAATAATGATAACTAAAGAGAGTGAAAATACACATGCCCTAATAAAAACAGTGGGGTGTACGTTCATAAAGGGCCCTAGCAAAAAAATAATAATTCCAATATCAGTAACTAATTAATTCAAGCATCAATCTACATAAATAGGGTTTATAGCTATATAGTTAACGTTATGGCTCAATCAAGAAAGCAATAATTGATGAGAGATAATCTTATGAAATTTTGCCGGCAACATTATAGTATTACTACTATAGTTATCATGTGAACAATGTGAGACAGACTTGACTATGAAAGTAGTAATGAAAATTACTATGAGCTGTTTCTTCAATTGCTCAACATTTGCATTATAAAGTCCATTATGGCAACTACATTTATTATAGAAGGAAGACTACATTTGTATGTGATAATATCTATAACAACTACAACCAATGGAACTGAGGTGGATGTTCAGTAGGGGAAACAAAATCAAACTGCAAACACAAAACATGCTATGAGCAACCTTATACATTTGGAAAGTAAAAACTGAAATAAAACTACTAAATGAGTGCCATTTGGAAATCAAATACACCTCCAGGTATGGGTTATACCATTGAGATCTCCTACTATTATTTGGCCAAGTAAATGGAAGAAGATTACAGTCAATTAGGTTTATAATTTGTTTAGGATATCTTATTATTCAGAATTAGTTTAAATATTGAATTGTTAAGTATAAAATATCTTAATGTTTATAAAGGAAAAGGTATCCCACTCTGAGAGAACATATATATGTAATGTAAAATATACATAGTTTACTTTAATTAGTAGAACTAAATATAAATAATATATTCAACTACTATTTGTTTACAAAAGAAAACATACAACTGAAGACTGAAACAGAAGAATAGTTTTTGGGTGTGCAAGAAGCGGTATAAAGATCGTCAAAATGCTATTTGAAGCCTTTTGTGTTAGGTTGTGTATTTTGAAATCATCACATACACATAAATTATAAGATCATGTATTTTAAAATCATCACATTCATATTGAGGTTTTGTTGGGAATACATGTAAGAAAAGGAAGTAAGCTGTTCTCATATACCATACTTGATAAAAAGATTTGGGGTGCAAGCATTATTGACAACACAGATACCCCAACTATCTATGTTTTTGAAAGCAACATATACAACCAGTAAGGATACAACATATAGATTGTAAGAGTAAAAAATGGTATCATAAAACAAACGTCTGTAAGTCTTCTAACACACTCAACTATACCAAAACACATACACTATACATAATACCAGGTGGAGAAGTAAATAAAAGTTGAAATTGAACATGCAACTGTAAGTAGGTAAAGACCATTGAATCACCCATGTTTTGAAAGTCTAGAAATCGATCACCAACACCTAATACCATTAAGTATGACACCTGTCTATTTCAAAATTTGGTGGAATATATATAAAAACATAATTAGTAGGCAAAATACCATGAATAGTCATGGTCATAATAAGCTGATAAGGAAATCAAAGTGCACATAAACATGTTCAGCAAAACTCGAAATAAATTTGAAAAAGAGGTAAATGCTGTGAAACATATCTATCTGTGAGTAACTTCAACAAATGCAAAAACAAAACAAAAACAACTTATTGCAGGTTTCGTAAACATTGGGAGTAAAATTGACACCATGGTATTGTCACTCCCTTTGGCGCGTGTTCTTAACTTACCTGTCTTAGGTCTGCTGGGGTTTGGAATGGTCTATTATCTCGTCCAAATCCTCCTGCACCTCCTTTCCGAGGCGGCCTGTTCGCAATGCCTTCCTGGTTGTAGCTGTAAGAAAGCAGTCATGATTTTCCTGCTACATTTTGTTCTACCTCTTATACAAAACAATGAATTGGTTGTTCGTCAGTAATACCACAACCATTGCTTTTTGACATGCATTGAGTAATATACTACATCTAAGATTCACAGCTGCAAATACTATGCTTGCAAATAAAATGTGATTATTTTCATCAGGAATGCTTCAGCTCACTGTAACTAAATGATATACAAGTATCTAAAAGTGTCAGAAATTCTTTGTATGCAATATCAAAATTGTAGGAAAGAAAAAATCCTACAATAAGGACTGAAATTAAATTCAAGGAAAATTTTGTGGATACGTTCTCATTCTTTTTGAGTTACCTTGATGTAGCTTTTGTTTTTAATTACAAGATGTGAGAGATTTCACAATTGATATCAGTAAAGTTTGTGATTTCTCAGTGATTTTTAATGCAAAGCAGATTTTGAATCCAGCTCTTCTCTTTTTTGACTTAGGCTCCAATTATTTTTTACTTGGAATTTGAGCCAGTTTCTAAATTCTTGGCTTGGACTAACCATTTTTTTTTTAGAAAACATTGGCTTGGACGAACCAATTTTTTTTATTATTAAAATTAAGTCTAGCTGGCTGAAAAGTGAAAGAGTTGCTTGATTTTACTAGACCTCTACATTAATTCTAAAATTGAGAAATTTACAGCTAACTTTGTTATTTAAATCACATAAAATCGTCAAAAATCATTCAAATTATCTTGCAATAATTACCCAGTAACTTATGTCTATAAATAGAATTATCCTTTTCACAAATGCATAGGTAAATATGAACCAAGATAAAATGAGTGAAATTCATGGGAAAGTTTGGTAACAATAAATATCTTTTGGAGATCTGCAGTGCAAATGACAGAACTACTTTGATTTGTGTAAGTGTAGCATTATTTAATACTGCATATAAATGTTATCAATATTTAACGTATGAAACATAAAGAAATTTTATCTGAGAACAAATGTTTATAAACCCAATGCTGTAAATTCAAAGAAATCTAACTGTAAGTCAAGCTTATAGATGATGTGGACAAAATAAAGCATGAACAAAATATGTTTTATTAGAAGCAGGGGTTTAGGGTTTAAGTTTCAGTTTACAGTTTGATGTTATTTGAAGAGCTGTACATGACCTTCAATAACAATAACTGAACATTTAGTTTGATACCCATACATCTACAGCCATGTATAAAACAAATAACTAGTAAATGTGACATAGGACTGTTTAATTACAAAATATCATCAATATACTTTAACAATATAATTAAATCTTTATATGCTCTTCTCATTTAAGGAATGCTATGAACATGATTTATACCCTATCAACTGAAAACTGTTCACTCTGAGGTGTAGTAATTGAAGCATTTTACTGCATGAAATTTTCATAGCATGAAACATCTTTTGCACTCCTGTTTTATAAATAAATGGAAATTTCATTTACACTGACACAACTGCATAGGACCCCAGCATTTGAGAGTTATGGATTATATGTTTCTATATATCAATGTTACTGCCTGCCTGGGAGTAAACTAGGTAGTGATTTTTCTGCAAATTGAAAACTTAAAAATCAGATGTCAGTTTCCTTTTAGTAATATCAATCGATGTCAGTATCTTTTTCATAATATTGATCAAACTAGACAGGTGGTAATGCATGTTAACATATACGATGTATCAGTATCGTGACTTGTGTCAACGAGGAGGAAGAAGTAAGTACTACACACAACTGTCAATATCTATATATAAATACATTCAGACATACATGCTTTACAGTAACCATTAGAACAGATAGCAAGGTATGCACTATTTGAAAGTGTACCACAGGTACCAGAAAAAGAACCATATATGATACCAACAAGAATACTAGTTGACATGATATACGTATACAGCCATTGAGAAACACTTCATAGTCAACACAATCACAAGAACAATCAATTAAACATCAAATCATTCTATTTATCATCATCTATCTTTTTTTTCTTTCCCTTTTGACAATTATCAAATGTTTAAATTTCCATTATTTCGTTGAACCAAGTACCATCTGTTGTAAAAGTAGAAGAATAAATAACAAAGAATGCAGTTTAAACTAGAACTGGGTGACTAATAACCTTGCCTGTGTCAAGAACTGTAGGAATACTTATTTTGAGATTATATTTTTCAAGAAAGGGGCATATTTCCATTAAGAGGTGGTCCAATCTATACACTTTGTTTACAAACCCTATTGAGGTAATTATTATGTACTTTAGAAGGATTAGTGAAGCCTAACTACATGGATAGAGTAATAATTTATTCATGTCCTCTCGCTGAAAGTATTAGGTGTACCAAGTATCATTCAAATTGCTGCAGTTCTTAAGGAGTACTTTTTTAAAACAAAGGGGCGTTACTCCAATAAAAGGGTAGCTACATGTAACTTTATTCACACATCCCCTTGTTGTTATAATGGTTCCATGTGCCAGGTATCATTCAAATTGGTCCAATACTTTAGGAGGATTAGTGAAAACACTGCAATCTTGTGTCTATACAGACAAATGAGCAAACAACTTCCTGTAAAAGCCCATTGAATGGGATTTCTGCAATAAACTTTTAACCTGGGTATATGATAAACAGTCAAAATAGTAGGAAGTGATTTACTGACAAAATGACATATCAATGGATTCTAATATGTTTTATGGTTTTGTAATGACAATCTTCTGTAGAAATGATAAATGAAATAGCTTTTGGAGCAAAAGATAAACTTTCATTCTCTTGTTTTTCGACTTTAAAGCAGTCGAAACAAAACCAAAAATTCTCTCTTTTCATAACTGAACTGGTTTAAGATATTTTCAATGACTACAGATTATGAAAAAAAGAAACTAATTTTGATTGTTTAATTTGTTGTGTGACTATAATTTAAAGTGGAAGTCAGTGCGGATTCATTATTTCATGAGCTCTAATGCTTAACATATTGCCTTTATTGATTTACTAGCATGCCTGCCATTTTACTGAAAACAAAACAAAAATGAACATAACAATAGCATCACACAGGAAGTAGTGGCAGTGATTAGTGCTGTCACCCTTAAGTCTACAGTTATAATTTCGATTCCCCAAAACACATATCTCACAACTCAAGTGCTACTTTATCTTCACTTGGAACAACAACAGGCTAAGTACAAGCAAAAAAACTGTCAAATGGTAAAGTTTTCAATGGAAGCCACCTATTCAGAAAAGTTAAAGATTTCAGTTTCCAATTTTCTAACACAACAATTTTGAAAACAGTGTCTGATTAAAATCATATCCTACGTTATCTATGCATAGCTGCATTATGGTATACAATGTGAAACTGAGGTTATAAAACTGCACTACAAATACACACCACTTATGTATGTGCTGGGGATATATTCCACATTTAGGATTTTGTTATCATACAAGCTTAAATATATTTAATTCTTATAAAAGTTCATCTGATATCTTTCTTAATACAAAAATAGGCCTTAAACCTGTTACTGGTATAAGATATTTGACAGTTGAAGAAGACTCCATACCTGTTACTGGTATAAGCTATTTGACAGCTGAAGAAGACTTCATACCTGTTACTGTTATAAGCTATTTGACAGTTGAAGAAGACTTCATACCTGTTACTGTTATAAGCTATTTGACAGTTGAAGAAGACTTCATACCTGTTACTGTTATAAGCTATTTGACAGTTGAAGAAGACTTCATACCTGTTACTGTTATAAGCTATTTGACAGTTGAAGAAGACTTCATACCTGTTACTGTTATAAGCTATTTGACAGTTGAAGAAGACTTCATACCTGTTACTGTTATAAGCTATTTGACAGTTGAAGAAGACTTCATACCTGTTACTGTTATAAGCTATTTGACAGTTGAAGAAGACTTCATACCTGTTACTGTTATAAGCTATTTGACAGTTGAAGAAGACTTCATACCTGTTACTGTTATAAGCTATTTGACAGTTGAAGAAGACTCCATACCTGTTACTGTTATAAGCTATTTGACAGTTGAAGAAGACTTCATACCTGTTACTGGTATAAGCTATTTGACAGTTGAAGAAGACTTCATACCTGTTACTGGTATAAGCTATTTGACAGTTGAAGAAGACTTCATACCTGTTACTGGTATAAGCTATTTGACAGTTGAAGAAGACTTCATACCTGTTACTGGTATAAGCTATTTGACAGTTGAAGAAGACTTCATACCTGTTACTGGTATAAGCTATTTGACAGTTGAAGAAGACTTCATACCTGTTACTGGTATAAGCTATTTGACAGTTGAAGAAGACTTCATACCTGTTACTGGTATAAGCTATTTGACAGTTGAAGAAGACTTCATACCTGTTACTGGTATAAGCTATTTGACAGTTGAAGAAGACTTCATACCTGTTACTGGTATAAGCTATTTGACAGTTGAAGAAGACTTCATACCTGTTACTGGTATAAGCTATTTGACAGTTGAAGAAGACTTCATACCTGTTACTGGTATAAGCTATTTGACAGTTGAAGAAGACTTCATACCTGTTACTGGTATAAGCTATTTGACAGTTGAAGAAGACTTCATACCTGTTACTGGTATAAGCTATTTGACAGTTGAAGAAGACTTCATACCTGTTACTGGTATAAGCTATTTGACAGTTGAAGAAGACTTCATACCTGTTACTGGTATAAGCTATTTGACAGTTGAAGAAGACTTCATACCTGTTACTGGTATAAGCTATTTGACAGTTGAAGAAGACTTCATACCTGTTACTGGTATAAGCTATTTGACAGTTGAAGAAGACTTCATACCTGTTACTGGTATAAGCTATTTGACAGTTGAAGAAGACTTCATACCTGTTACTGGTATAAGCTATTTGACAGTTGAAGAAGACTTCATACCTGTTACTGGTATAAGCTATTTGACAGTTGAAGAAGACTTCATACCTGTTACTGGTATAAGCTATTTGACAGTTGAAGAAGACTTCATACCTGTTACTGGTATAAGCTATTTGACAGTTGAAGAAGACTTCATACCTGTTACTGGTATAAGCTATTTGACAGTTGAAGAAGACTTCATACCTGTTACTGGTATAAGCTATTTGACAGTTGAAGAAGACTTCATACCTGTTACTGGTATAAGCTATTTGACAGTTGAAGAAGACTTCATACCTGTTACTGGTATAAGCTATTTGACAGTTGAAGAAGACTTCATACCTGTTACTGGTATAAGCTATTTGACAGTTGAAGAAGACTTCATACCTGTTACTGGTATAAGCTATTTGACAGTTGAAGAAGACTTCATACCTGTTACTGGTATAAGCTATTTGACAGTTGAAGAAGACTTCATACCTGTTACTGGTATAAGCTATTTGACAGTTGAAGAAGACTTCATACCTGTTACTGGTATAAGCTATTTGACAGTTGAAGAAGACTTCATACCTGTTACTGGTATAAGCTATTTGACAGTTGAAGAAGACTTCATACCTGTTACTGGTATAAGCTATTTGACAGTTGAAGAAGACTTCATACCTGTTACTGGTATAAGCTATTTGACAGTTGAAGAAGACTTCATACCTGTTACTGGTATAAGCTATTTGACAGTTGAAGAAGACTTCATACCTGTTACTGGTATAAGCTATTTGACAGTTGAAGAAGACTTCATACCTGTTACTGGTATAAGCTATTTGACAGTTGAAGAAGACTTCATACCTGTTACTGGTATAAGCTATTTGACAGTTGAAGAAGACTTCATACCTGTTACTGGTATAAGCTATTTGACAGTTGAAGAAGACTTCATACCTGTTACTGGTATAAGCTATTTGACAGTTGAAGAAGACTTCATACCTGTTACTGGTATAAGCTATTTGACAGTTGAAGAAGACTTCATACCTGTTACTGGTATAAGCTATTTGACAGTTGAAGAAGACTTCATACCTGTTACTGGTATAAGCTATTTGACAGTTGAAGAAGACTTCATACCTGTTACTGGTATAAGCTATTTGACAGTTGAAGAAGACTTCATACCTGTTACTGGTATAAGCTATTTGACAGTTGAAGAAGACTTCATACCTGTTACTGGTATAAGCTATTTGACAGTTGAAGAAGACTTCATACCTGTTACTGGTATAAGCTATTTGACAGTTGAAGAAGACTTCATACCTGTTACTGGTATAAGCTATTTGACAGTTGAAGAAGACTTCATACCTGTTACTGGTATAAGCTATTTGACAGTTGAAGAAGACTTCATACCTGTTACTGGTATAAGCTATTTGACAGTTGAAGAAGACTTCATACCTGTTACTGGTATAAGCTATTTGACAGTTGAAGAAGACTTCATACCTGTTACTGGTATAAGCTATTTGACAGTTGAAGAAGACTTCATACCTGTTACTGGTATAAGCTATTTGACAGTTGAAGAAGACTCCATACCTGTTACTGGTATAAGCTATTTGACAGTTGAAGAAGAAGACTATTCTATTAACTGTGTTAACAGATTGACACCATGTTTACCACGGTAGAGCTATGAATAACTAGCTAATTATAAACAGATTCAGTCACATTTGCCTGTTCCCATTATCCTCGAAATACTTACAAATTTACTAGCAGTACATCTATTATTTGTTACTGCAATTTTTCAATATCTGGTCGGGCAGGTGAACCCATACCTTTTCACGTACGATCAGGGAATCAAACCCCGGCCGCCTTGGTGAAAGACAAGTGTGATATCCACTGCACCACCTGACTACTTTGAATCAAGTTGACCTGGAAAAAGCAACTGATTAAACCCATCTTTCAGAAACTGACTCTTTTCTGTTTGCATCACCTAAAGGATTTTATTAACTTGCAATAAATGTAACCCTACAAAACTTGATATATAAGTAGTCATTTAATTTTTCAAACAATGTGTACTGTTATAAATTTTGAGAATATTTCCATGTTGTTCATTTAATACTTACCCTTCCACTAACCCCTGGCACTTGTCTCGTGGTAGTTCTATAAAATCTATTCTATCGAATAAGTCATCATTCTCTGCAGGTAGTTTGAAATTCCCTTTCATCTCTAGAACAGCTGACTCTGGTACAAATTTACCTGTCAAAGTAAGAATTGTTTGAAAGGACTTCAACATATTGAAAATTATGAACCACTTTCCATTTCTCATTCGGAGTAATAAATTTGGAACTAAATCAAGTTTGTTTCACACTTGAGTCAGTAAATCTCAAAATAGATCAAACCATGAACAAAACTTGAGATAAATGAATTAAAAGTGTACTGAACCAGTTTAAATTATCAACTTTAAAGAAATGTAATCATTGAAATTCGGCAACCCCTTAGCAAGTTACATGAAAAATACGATTCTAGGCATCATGATTCTACAGCAGTCTTTTTTTCACACATTTCATCCAAGCAACTTTAATTTGCCTTTTGCTTAATAGCCTCTACCCTAGCATCTACAACTAATTTTCTGGTCTTTATCCCTTTTCTTTAATGTTTGACTAATGAGATCTTGAAATATCATTTTGGACAAACTAAAAAGTCTTCTGACTGTCAGAACAATCGACAGAGCAAATATGATGATGTTAGGCATATTTCTGTAGAAAAAGCTTTTGAAATTTTAATGCATTTAACATATGTGTCTCTGAACATACAAATTAATTGAATTTAAATGATCCGACAGTCATTTATCCAAGCAAGCTATAGAGATAACATCTTGCAGTATTTTGTAATTGCTTTTTACCATCTTCGACAGTCCGCTTTTCAGATCTGCGTTGCAACTCTTGATCATCTGGTTGTATGACTGCGGCAATCCTGTAGAATCCATTGAAATTCTTTAACTTCCTCCTTCTGGCTGATGGGTAAACATTGGTCTGGTCCAAAATGTAGTTTCTGTTCTTTTTACATCCTATGCAAAATTAACCAGGAATGTAAGTGCCAGGCTAACTAATAGTTCCTGCTTCCCTATAACAATGGTCAAAAGCAAGAACTTCCTCCCATTCTATGGAATAACTTCCATTAGCCAACGAAATTGCATTGCACTCTTTTAATCCACTTTAGCTCAAATTCAAAACAACCTTCACCTTTGTAATAAGTAAATATTGATCAAGTTTTTGTCAGAATCTTTGTCGGTACCTGAATCCAGTGATGTCTAAAAACATTACAATGAATGTGTAATTTGAGTATACTATTTGAACTCAACATGCATGTATTTTGCTCAAATTAAAAATCAGACTCACTCTTTTAAAATATTTACATGATTTCAAAAGTCAGAAAAGAGTTATCATGCAGAAAACAAAAATGTTCTGAATACAGTGCCTTACTTACTTAGTATAATTCAAACACTTTCAGTACATTAAAAATTACATTACAGCTCAGTTAACAAATTATTTTCCTTCCTTTTCAAATTATTAGATATGATTCTTAGTACAATACGATTCAGCCTGCCAATGAAGATATCGGTCGGTACCTGTTTCAAATAGTTTGTTGAGAGCTTTTGTTGCCTTGTCAATGAGGACATCCCAACGACCATGATAATTATTCTTCCTTGGGAGACCCATCACTTTCATTTTATCAATAAGTGTGTCTGTGCCGATGATGTTGTAGCGCTTTTCTATTTGAGTTTTTGCCATGTTTACTCCCCAGGTAGTTTTACCAGCACCAGGTAGACCGATGATCATCATCATCTACAATAAAAACTCACTTTATTATTACTTGAAGATATTTCCTGTTAATTTCACCTGCTTAAACTAAAGCTAACATATAAGAAATACATTAAAGAAACATACACAGTGTGCGACTATTTTGCTCAACACAGCACAAAAGAATTTTCTTGCTGATACAGTCTAGCTTTTGAAAAGAATGCTAGTTCTTTATACATCCTTGATCAGTTGGCACAATCTATTTCCAGCATAAAAATGCCGGATTACTTGTACATACAATAATTTAAAAAGCAAGTAAATCTTTTATCTATCCCTATTGTATATTTTTAGCTGGAGTTTCAGTTATTTTTATCAGCCTTAAAGACTGAAATATCGTCAGAGTTTACTGAAAGACAGCTAGTATCCTACTGGCAATTTTTGTACAAACCAGTATTATGTTGACAAATAAAAGACAATTCTTACTGTTTGCATATATATTTACCTCACAGTCTGATTTTTTTGCAGGTGGTTCGAGGCCTTTGACCCTATCTATGGCGAGGAAGTGACTGATGTAGTTATATCCTGGGGGAGGAGGATACCACGGACCTTCCTGACCAAAATTTACTCGGAACCTAAAATCATTAATTCAAAGAAGGAGTTCAATAAAAAAAAACAAGAGGCCCATGGGCCTTAACGGTCACCTGATATATTTATACAGAGAGTTGATTTTGTTTTTAACATGAACAGAAATATTATTCAAAGTGACAAAAAACAATAAAACCACCTCACTCAATATCTAGCATACAGATTTCAGACTAAAAAGGATTTGAAACTAGCACCTCTGATTCTTAACAAGGAAAATGAAGAAATTTTAGCACACTGACTCCTTTGAGCCCCACCCTACAGCCCTTGGGGGTAGGGCTGGCTCAAAATTTTCAAAGTATCAAACTGTCAATTCAAGGTTATAATTCCAATCAAGTTATTAACATGTAATATTCAAAGTATCATTTGCCATTATAAACCATAATAAATTTTGTCCCCCCTCCCCCTCCTTCCCCAGGGGGTAAACGTGAGACCCTAGGGTCATCAACCTTAAGACCCTTCCATCTATGAAGAGTATTTGATTCTACCATATCTGGGTCTTGAGAAGAAGATTTTTGAAATTTTAGTCAATTCAACCCTTTTTGGCCCTGCCCCTCAGGCCCCTGGGGGCTTAGGACTAAACCGGCAACTATTTTTGTTGACCTTTGTCCATGGAAGGTCCCTGCAAAATTTCATTGAAATTGGTTCAGGGGTTTTGGAGAAGAAGTCGAAAATGTAAATTGTTTACGGACGCACGACGGACGACGACGGACAAAAGGCGATCGCAATAGGTCACTTGAGACTTTGTCTCAGGTGACCTAACAAAGCAAGTTCTAAGAGTTACATTCTGTTTTTAGGTGGAATTCTATATGGAAAAAGATAAGATTGCAAGTGTGCAAACTGAATTTTGCTCAAAAAGGTTAGTCTATCTGATTTCAGCAACCTTAGTTAATATGCACATATATAGCTGATCATCAAACTATTTGAAGAATCATCCTGAAGTAAACCACGTGATCAAGTGTAACGTGTATTTAGTTCCAACCAGGGTTTACTCTGAAAGAATATGACGCAATAAATGTTGACAAATCAGTTTTCAGTTACCTCACTAAAAGTCTGCATGAGTCAGCCTTAAAGTAAACAAACTTAAATAAGGAACAGTCGAGGTAAATATCGATGTACTTGCCATTGAAGTAGAGGGTTTGGTATAAAAGTCTGTCAAAGGCCGAGTTGAATTCGAAGCGGTCCCCAAAATTTTCATGTGTTTTTGACTTTTCATATGTGCTGTAAGGGCATATTCCCCCATCTTGCCCAGATCAATAATTTTGTTACACAGCGAGCTCAAAGCAAAAGTCCCATCACCCTTGAACTCCCTCACCCAAAACAATCTGGGATTGTCGAGCCATTTGCGGTTAAAAACACCTTCCCCATCACAGTTGTTCTGTTTGTGTTCCCCTCCTGTTCACAATTCTTTTAATGCACATGACCGTATGTCACTTTGGCGCTTTGACTACGAAACTTACTCAATTCAAACGCAGTAATGATACAAATTGAAAAAGTAAAACCGGAAACTTCATCGGTATATATTTTCCGGAATTATTACAAATTACAATCTGCAATTTGACGATCAATCTGTGTTAAAATTAATTATTGTTTGCGACGAATGTTTACTAAATACTGAATTAACATGACAGAAACGGATACCTAACTAACTTCACTGATTTTCAAGGGTTTTTCAAGGACTCCCATTGATTTTCAAGGGTTTTTCAAGGCTTACAGTCATTTTCAAGGGTTTTTCAAGACAGACATCAAATTCAAGGATATTTCAAGACCTGTGGGAACCATGTACTATTATAGATACATTAAATTTTGACCATCAATTACTCAGGACTATTCCATTTAAACACATCCTTTTACCTTTTAGATATTGGCAAAAAGTAGCAAACAGGTTGAAATTTGAAAAAAATATAACTTAGTTTCAGTTCTGACTGCACTGTTTCAATATTAGACCCCTAACGAACATCTATGCCAAATATCAATATCAGTAAAAATATTAAAGGTTATATATTGATAATTTTCACCTCTTGGTTTACATGTTTTATTTCATTTAAAATAATCACCTGCAATTTTTAGAAAGAATGTGAGGAAATAAGGCAAACTCTTTCTCTCCAGCTTTGAAATTGTGGAGTGATGCTGCGATACCAAGCCACTGTCCGTTCTTTGTGTAGGATATTGTCGGAGGGCGAGAGTCAAGATCTAACAGTGTGCCTATGATATCTCCCTGGCCAAACTGCTCTCCATAACTTTGAAATTTACAGTTCACTGAAAATTTCCCAGTTCCTCCATATCCGTAAGAAAAGGGCTCTTCTCCTGAAACAAAGCAAAAATGTATATAATTTTTCTTGGTCTTAATGACTAGTTGGCATTCTGAATATTTTCTTTTAAATATAAATAAAGAGAACAAAAAAACATAATCCAAAACAGTGATTACCATTTTGTGTTTAGTATGATTGTCCAAATACAAAGATAGACAACCCATTTGTGCCATGCATGCAAATACCTTTTGCATTGAATTCTTATTGACCCACAATGATTAAACTGGCCAATTACCAAACTACTGAAAAACACAAAGTACAGACCTTATTTAGCATGGTATATGCTTTGTGTTGATTCAGTTGATTTGATGGAATTGGTAAAGGTAACTATTCCTAATTCATAATAAAGATGTGTTGGAAAATGCTTGCTATGGATTGTGTGTCGGCACATCAGAGATAACAAACACCCAATAATTGGCTACATCAAAGGAAACTACTGACGGCCTCATAAGACACACTGTTTTGTTTCATATGAATTATATAAGATACACCAAAACCTGGATACTATTTTTGAACAATTTAAACAATTTTGAATAGTCCTGTCAATACCACCAGGAAGAGAGGTGCAGATAAGATGGCTTTCACGTTCTTCAGATAACCAGAAAAACTACCTGTACCTACTACAACCAATGGAAACATAGCAGCTAAGACTCACAATCAAAAGGTCAAAATTTTGTGTTGTTCCTTTAACTCTGCACTATTAATAGAAAGTAGCATTAGAGTGGTGTCTTTTTCCTAATAAACCTTCACAAAATGTACTTGATCAACTGTCACAGTGTAGAAAGAACTGTTTGTGATTTTTTTGATTTTTATATTTATTATATTATGCATGTAAATGGATAAAATAGCATATTTCAATTACTTTTAGTGTGCTATTAATTAATGTTAACTGTTATCATTTTCTATTGCAGGATTTAATCTTCCAGATTGCTTCAATTTGAGATAATGATTTTCTTTTATTAAACGTTGTAAACTATTATTCTATATGCATTATTTCCCCTAATGATCAAGTATAAAAACGTTACATCTTGACATATAAGTTCCATTTCTATGCTAATAATCAAATTTTCCTTATGAGAACATTTGGTGCACTCTGAAACAAAAATCAACAACCAAAGAACGAAACTTCACATAAAATTCTTCCAAATAGATTTTTTTTTATATATTTAAATAATAAATCTATTGGAAATTGAGCAATAAACTGAATTTAGTCAATACAAATAAAGAAAAGAAATGCAATATTTGTTTTTAAACTTGGACAAAAACATATATAACTCCCCATCCATGATTTTAAAATTGTGGTGTTTCCTGATAATGCCTTTTGTATTTAAGTTTTGAAAATGTTACCATAGTGTGAACAAAGAATCAAGGCTTCTAAGACACAAACATTTTTCAAATTAAAATTAATATTCCTCTTAATATCTGAGGTAATCATTTCCAAATACTCCACTTGATTTTTACCTAGTTGAAAAGATGATCGGTCTATAGACCATCCAATACGAAGTACATGAGGGTTTGTTTCTTGGTGGTCATCTCCAAAGTCTGTTGGAAGGTTTTCTGTAATCTGTACTTCATAGTATACCTACAACAGATATTTTTTATCAAAACTGTCAAGAAACAGACAAAATAACACATTTTTAAACATATATAACTGTTCATCTGATTGGTATGGGTAGTGCATTCAAATTAAAGGGACATACCAGGTAAATAAGTCAAAGTCTACACATTTGTAAATATTACTCGTCAACCGTTAGCGGGTTAACCTGTTACTTAGTCGGGCGGTCTTGAATTGGTCACCAAAATCAATTACTGGAATAGTTAGACATTCATTCACCCCATGTGGAGTATCATGTTTACTGGCTTAGACCTACAAATTATATCTATTGATGAGACCCAAATTAGAAGTTTTGATAGTAAAAACAATAATCAGACAATATTGTTTGAATACCAAACTGAGCCATTAATCAAATACTCGGACGGGAGATTTCTATCTGGTTCTAACTGGTTACTAAAATTTGTCTGGTGTGACAACCCTAGTAAATATACCAATAAAATTTGCTATGGTTTTTAAAAATGTTTTCTTTAAAAGTACATTCAGTGTCTCTGTTTTATGTTCAGATCCTTAACATTATATCTCAACTGATTTTAAATTCTTCAAATTTGGGTTAGCATCTTGATTGTGAGGAGAAATGAAGCCTGGTGACCAATGTGTAATCCTACCTTTCCTCGTGTAACCCCGTATGTTGCCCTAGCTCCAGCCCAGCAGAAATTAAAACCCGATGGGTTAACCATCGGTTGAGCACCAAATCTGTAAAAAAAAAAGTACTTTCAACATCAACACATCAGTTTTTTACGTTCAATTTTAACCAGACTTTAGTGAGTTTTAGTGCTCTTTCCGAAGCCCTTTTTGCATATCAGTAAAGTATCTTTTAGACATATCACGATTTTTACAAATATTTAATTTGATTATATTACACTTTAATTTGGATAAAACAGTAACTGTGTTCTGGGTTAAATGTCAATCGTGGCCCCTCTTTAGTTGAATAATATATAAAATGTTTATATCTGGCTGGGGATACTTGTCAAAGAAGTTATAGCCTATCTAGTCTGCTACAAAGACACATTTTGCCCACCACTGGGTTTTTTTGTGTTATCACATATTCGTTTCATACGAGGGAAATATACATATCTTGTATAATGGGAAACCATTTAATTTGATTCTATTAAATAAGTTCAAATCGTGCGACACAAATATTCCTACACCAGAAAAGCGTGGGAATTTGTAGCGTAATTTTTAATGCATCGTTCTAATGATGCCACGCTTGACAACAATACAGGGTGCAATTTTGAATGGGTTTCTCACTGGAATTCTGTCATTAGCTGTTTTAAAATGAAAAGATTTCCAAACAGAAATGATAAAAATTATGTATTTATGTAAATACCATAATGTATGTTGCAAAAGTGGAACAATACAACCACTTATTCTGCCGTTGCTTCATCTAAACTTGAAACTGAATATCTACGCAGTGTATAGAATGTACCATTTTGATTGGACAATATTAAGGTTGATATTTTCACATGTGAAGATAGAATATTTTGTGTATCTTCACTGCACTCCTTTTTATCAAATGGAGAATTCATGATATATAACTAGTATAATGTTATAAACACGGATACCGCAGGGGTTTACTATCGTATTTTTGTTGATAGTATATATATGTGGCCTAAATTTCCCAGAAGGCTTTCATGCATGGGGGAGTACCGGAAATGGACAAAGTGTTTACAGATCAAACCCATGAGGCACTTTGCGTCACGTAGGGGTTTGAAAAAAACTGTTTTTCTGCTTCATCAATGCTTGTACAGTATTAATTGAACAACATTGCACAACTTTATCAAAGACTACACAACATTCATAATTTTATCTGCAATAAATAATATGTTCAGATTTTTAAAATTCCCTCTCTAACTCATGGCATGCTTCACTACAGAATAATGGATAATATGTTGTTCAAGTAATTACCCATCTTCATCTATAACAAGGTTGAGATCTGAATTATAATCGTCCAGCTCCATTTTGACGTTTACATCATAAGCTCCGACCTCTTTAACATCTTGCTGACCAATATAATGTAGCTGCTGAGCTTGCTGTTGTTGTTGTTGTTGTTGAGCTAAAAGAATTTGTTCACTGAAAAGGCCAACAAATCAACTAATTATATTACCATTTTACATTGATGCGCTTCATGAAAAATCTTATATGTGATATTGCTATTCTGTTTGTATTACACCAGTGTCTCCAATTGTGTGAAATTCTGTTCAAAATGTTGATTATAAAATGTAGTTTTAAAGGTCATTCTCATAGTTATTAACAACAACAAAATAAAAAATAAATGTATTATATTTATCACGCATTATGATTAAACCAATGAGCTTATGACTATTGTTTTATATGCCTCAAGCTTTTTCCTTTATTTATTTCAAGACAATAAGAGATTGCTTAAACTTTCCAAATGTTGGCCTACCTGAGACCTAACGGTGCACCGTACATGGCTTTCTGATTAAATGCCTGCATATCTAATGCAGTTGAGGTCACTGGTAGCATTGGAGGTGTAGGAGCTCCCTGAACACCCGCTACACCCTGTACACCAGATAATGCCTGTATCCCAGGCATGCCCTGCAAGCCTGCTACACCCTGCATCCCTTGGATAGCACCTTGAAATGAAGAAGCAGCTGGGGAAGCTAAAAGACCTCCCTGTGTACCAAACCTAGCTGCAGATGTGGCTCCTGTTGCAGTAAGTGGCATCTGCATCCCGGGAAGAAAGGTTGCACCAGGCTGGGCAGTCCCTCCTCGTGCCACCGCTGGATGTGGCATACCATGTGGCAGACGTACCACCATGTAAGGCTGTTGCACCGATTGTACTGATGGCATCATCATTGGCACAAAACCGCCTGGATACTGATTCATTGCTTTGATTTTGTCTGAAATTATAAACATAATGATAAGTTAGGATATATCCTAATTTGATAAAGATCACAGTCAGGCCAGGGTACATAGATGACTTGTCCAACGGTATCAATTTAGGCTGTGTGAATTTAATTGATATTGTTGGACAACTTTTTTTAATCACTTAAATGATAATTTAAATAAGTTTATTGAATCTACATAATTGGTAATGTAACATTTTTACTTGCCAGGTGACAGAGACATGTGGGGCAATCTTTATTTTTAGCCAGTCTGGTTTGTTTTTGTTTCCAAATATTTCTTATAACATACATTTCTTAATGATACATTTTTAGGTTATTTATGGCTCAGATGTATACCAATCTGCTTTAAAAAATCAAATGCATCCGAGTTGAGAAAATTCTTTTTTTCTCTGCTAACTTGAGAGGATGTGGACTTCCAGTGCATCATGGCTGATCAGTTTCCTTTCATCACCTGTATTTAAGGGTAGCCAGCTATGAACAATTTGAGGGTAAGTTATTGGGATAACCTCTCTCCCTCCTTTACATTGAGAAGGAGAAGTCATCCTAATATCTTACCCTGCCTCCAATTACCTCGAACAGGACTAGTATTATAGGGGATGATCCCTATTGGCAAACTTGGATTAAACACTAACTTTTAGTCTATAAAAGTATAAGTAAAACTTCAGTTAAAATGCTATGGACTAGTATTTATTTTCAATATTTTAGGCTCCAATTTGCAACATATTTATACATGTCAACCTGTTGACCCATCCTCCGAGGGATTTTGTCCTTATGTACAAAGGGAAAGCATGTGAAACTTTTACTATATTTCTTCAGTTCAATGCATGTGGTGAGGTGAAATGTAATTTTATTAATTAAAATACTACCCTGTATTATTGTTAAGTGTTATTTGCATAACATGCTATGAAATGTTAATATTTTCAGTGATGTTTGGACTCAGACACAATGAACTTGAGTCCTGAACTCCTGCTTTTCCAGCTGGACGGACAACTTTTTGAGGACCCACGGCCACTATAACTCTGAATAATAAGGATCTCTTCTGAAAGATGTTCAGACCTTGCCTGAAAAATTTCTATAAGAACCACTGGTTGCATACATGCCAGATATCACGGCTTGAGGCAAAATCTCACTGATTTTCACCTCATATTAAGTCTCATGGCGTGGGACATGAATTTACGGAAAGTCCTCAAAACCTCATGTTTTTGAATGACCAAGCGGTGAACCATTTTCATATGATATATTTAGTTTGTTCCGTTCTTATTGTTGCCATTCAATTCTGTGATACTACAGAATGCCTGACACTCTAAGCCACTGCGCGACAGTGTCCGCTTCAGCATCAAAATTTCATTGTGAAGTTAATATCTTACATTGTCAATAGAATAAGCATAGTAAATGTTTTCTGTCATGTTTATATATGAAGTCCGGCTACGTGTAACTTAACAAAAATAAGATCACTACAAAAGTAAAGAGAATGGTCGGTAAGAGGCATGTAAAAGAATATGGGAAAAGTCTTTGATCTGAATGCTGAATATTGAATTTAAAAGTTCAAATGCAGAACACAGTTTGCTTTTCTTTCACAGCTGATTTTTTGTCCTCTTGTTAAATGCATGTTTCCAGATTCTATTACAATGCCCAGAAGTTGAAATGTAAATGAACAGACAACTTTTATCCTTACAAATTCATCAAAATCCACAGTTCAAAGTTAATGTCTTCTAACTTGAATCTCAATAAACTATGTGATTCGTTTTATAAACTTTGTGCTACAAAATATATTATAATCATATTCAATGTATACCAAAAAACTAGGGCTGCAATGGTTAGAAATAATGCAAGTGTGTGCTTAACTGAACCGAAACTGGGTAACCATGTTTTTTGTGTCATGAAATACAGCCACCAATGGCCCTTTATTTTGATAAAAACATGATAACTCGACTCACTAAATACATAAACAAAGATAACTCAATACCTACTCCTTATTAATAATGCTGCAAAACATTGAAGATTCTCAAAATCATCATGATTTGGCTGCATAGCGCTAGCCTCCAGTCTGGAAAATTTTCGTTATTTAATTTTACACTCGTGTTTTCAACGCTATTTGTTATATTATCTTATACATGCACTCAAAATATTGAGTGATAGGATGCCTGGCTCGTGACCAAGGGTTGCCGGTTCGAGCCACGGCACTGTGTTGTATCTTTGAGCAAGATACTTTACTCTGCTTGTTCCAGTCTACTCAGCTGTAAATGAGTATGTGGTTGGCAGTGCTCCAAGAGTTCTGGCATGCATGAAGTTGTCTTTTAAAAGGGACTATTGCCTCGCTCCTAAGAGGGACAAATGTGTTCAGAATATACAGGTTAGTGAACCAGATTGGGTCTTTTGCTTTCATTGGGATCAAATGGTAAATATCAGGGTTAAGAGGGAAAATCTCTTTCAATGTATGCATGCTCTGCTTAGAAGTTGTATGTTTGCTGTAGAACTTCTGTTAACTTTAACAGTTGGCACCCGGGTCCCAGGTAACAAAAAAATAGCAAGCAAGAGAGTTGTATGCATGCTTCAACCAGGTATAGAACCCGCAATCCCAGACTTCTTAGTCAGATGCTCTACCACTGATCTGATCGTTAATCGACGACAGACCGATATGAAAAAGTCGATAAAACGTCAGAATAATTCGGACTATGGGTGAATGTGATTCTATGCAATGACTCAATTTCAATGTAGAGTTAAAATCTGCCACACTACTCCCTCCCCTTTTTAAATGTGATTGGTTTCAAATACCACAACAACACAGTTTCTAACTCTCTGTTACCACAGGAAAGGCCGGCATCGTCTGAATCTGCCTTTTGTCTATCCTAGTTCATAATCTGCCATAAAGAATTGTTTAAGGTGGATAACGTGCGCTTAGAGTAATCGATAAAAAATATTATATAATAAAAATAAAGTAAAAATATGACAAATAAAAGCTACGGACTTACTAGATTCATTGTTTTACAGATCTCGTGTGCACATAAATATCACTGTCGCACATCATGAATAATAAGATTTATGTCAGAGCTCAAATTACATCATATTTAACAGCTCGAATAACCATCAATACAACGCGAGATGTTAAATATGAATTAAGAAATTGAAGAAAAATCACTTAAGTACAATTATTCAACATCGAAATCAATATTTATAAATGCATTGGTACCTAACAAACCAGGAAAATACTTTAGCCCATCCTCGGCTTTTCTCGATCAAGATGGCGTCTTTAAAGATTTTCCTATCTCCAAGCCAGAAGAGTTATATTTTAGCGCTGTTATCTCCCCTTGAGTTCTGCACTCATGACCTATACTTATATCAATTAAGCAATGTAAAGCCGATCAGGTTCCACACCGGTTCTGTTATTTCTTCATTATTATTTTATTTTTTCGAAGAGGTCTTTTTCTCTGTGACATTTAGTTATTTTATCACATTAGAGTTCCTATGTTTATTGACATTACAATGAAACAGATTTGAAAACAGGCACAGCATATACCAGTTTTCCCCTTTTACAATATCACGGAATTAGATTAGATATCTAAGTCCGTGACATTATCCATGTAGATACGGTAAGATGGTCAGGCGTACGCACTTTTCCGTCCGTTTCCGTCAGTCAGAAGTGTCTCTTGCTTATTTTACAGGCACTTCGTTGCAATATTTACAAATAAATAAGCACTGAACAAATCTTCAAGTGTACCATTTAATTTGTATTTATTGTTTTAGTCCGAAATATTGATTAAATGATGGTACAGTTAAAAAGTCAGCTCAAATGTGAAACACGACGTTTTGTTTCCCCGTCAATAGATTCTGATCTGCAATAATAATAAAGTATAATCATTTCGTCGTCGCTCAAATTTAGTTAACATAATTATAAATTTTAAATGAATGCACAATAATATTTCATACAAAGTACAATTGCTTTTACTCAAAGACACAAATATACTTTTTAGACCTTATCGGTCATAGGTCCGGTACTTAATTATCCTGCATGGATCGAATAACTCTTTAATAATAACTTTATGCCGTCCCATTTTAATCGGTTTTTTTACGACCAATGGAAAAAAACTAGTATTTATAACTCCAGGTGCGTATTCTTAGCCGTTTAAATTGGTATCAACTGATATATTTTCGTTGCATTGTACGTTTCCCGCTTGCAAACAACATGATATAAGGCGGCAATGTTCTGTGTGTGTATTACGCAGAGGAAAACTTTTTCGAGTGTTTTGTGTCCGTTGTTTGCTTCGACTGCGCTCTTACTCAACTCTTAAGATAAAATCTTTTGATGCATGGTATCAATCAAGTATTCAGAATACGATTAAGTACTGCAATATATTTATATTGATAATTGTTTGTCAGATCCCGTGCTAGCTTTGATCTTCCTCCTGCCTACGTGCGTGCTGGTAATTCCGTTTACACGTTCCAAGAACAAACATATACGGTTTAATATTTCTATATAACGTACTGCGCTGTACAGGTATATGTATGTATGTATATGTAGGGTCCCGATAATTTGTTACATCTATATTAGGACCTATTCCGTCTTTGCGTATTGCAGAGTTATCTTCTCTTGGGAGCAGGTATTGATTGTTACGTCACTTATTTGTGAGAGTAACGTCATCATTTTTTGAGAAAAAGACGCAATTTTCTCGCACAAACCAATGACGTAACAAATCAATACCTGCTCCGAAGAGAAGTTTTATTCGCGTTATGTGTAGTGTGTACAGCGCTAACGTGAATTAACAAACGCTTTCCGCGAATACTTATAGCTCGACGAGTCTTTAGATAAATACACAAATTAGCATTATAATCACCAAGTATAGCTCAAGTTATAATAAGTTGATAACAGATGGGGTGCCCGTTTGCTGATAATGTAATATACATTTTTTTATGGCTTCAGTTTGCCTGTGTGACTGCATTTTGGTTTATTGCCCCATGGCTGATTCAAGGTTACTCTTGGTTTCAATACTCCGAGGGGAGGGGTCTATGTGGCATCCCTATCTGTATTACAGACTTCGACATTTTGACAGATAGATATCTGGTGTGACAGGGCCAGAGATAACTCGGGCTAAGTCTGGTATCAGGGCCAGAAATAACTCGGGCTAAGTCTGGTATCAGGGCAAGAGGAAACTCAGGTTAGTGTGAAGTGTGTACAGAGCTAACGAAGCAAACGCTTTCCGCGTATACTTAGTTCAAACTTTCTTTTATATATGCAATATATATATATATATAACATATTTTGTAACAAAACGCAAAATAGGAAGTAGAAACAAGTGTCTTAGACACTTATGTAAATCTATCACCTTATCGTAATCTGCAAAATATATCCAGGATGTACATACAATAAAACAAATCAGTGACAATAGTTTAAACAAGGAGAAAGACAAGGAGATAATCAATGGTGAAGGGTTGTGGTTGTTATGGGTATTACTTGTTCTTACATACGTACAATTCGGCTTTTAAGCACATACATGTTTATGAAATATTAAATCATAAGGAAAACCTGTTTGTCTTTAATACATAATCTTGGACAGATAGGAAGATAACCTTATTGTCTTGTAATTCCCAAACAGTAGAATATCTGTGGTAATATTATAAGGCAAATAATATAAATACTGTCTTCTTATGTCGTCATATCGGGTACATTCTAAACGAAAATGAGCAGTGTTTTCAACTTGACCGCATAAACATAGCAGAGATTGAACAATATTCTTACTAAATAAATGACTGTTTAAGGAACTGCATTCCATTCGTAGACGAGCATTGTATATTAGACCCTTACGGTTTCCAAAAGGATAGTGGATTGGTACTCTTCTACTTAACTGTTTATCAATGTATGATTTTATAGCAGAAACAGACGGATTTGATCTAACATCATATGGTAGTTTATTCCATTGATCTATAGTAGAGGGTAAAAACGATTGTTTATAAAAAGCAGTTTTGCACAATATTGGAGTGACACATGTATGGTCTGAGTTCCTTGTATCATATCTATGTCCCTCCGAAACTGTGTGAGGAACAAGATTATACAAATATTGAGGCGTATATTGGTAAAACATTTTATGACATTGAAGGATTTTCGATTTTGTCTACGATCAAATAATCTCGTCCATCTTGCTTAATTGAACAATTTGTCAAGACTTGTTAGTTTTGTTGCACCAGTTACTATCCGAGCATTGCAGCTTCAATATTGAGGTTTTCAAGTTTTTTTTCCAGTTCTTTCGTAATATTTCCCCATACTATATCACCATATTCGAGAAGTGGTCTTATAAGAGAGAAATATATAGTTTGCAAAGTTTGTTTATCTAATTGGAATTTCAAAGATCGCATTATATTGATTTTAAAGGAGGCTTTGACAATGATATAATTTACTTGATCTAGCCAACGACCATCTCCAGAGTAGTACACACCAAGGTGCTCGTGAGAGGATACATTATATATTGGAAAGTTGTCCTATTGTGAACTATATGATTACATGCATTTGTACACAATCATGTAACAAACATTTAAAATTGTGTTTACAATAATTTACTCCTCAAAAGCTGATTTTTCCCCCAAGAGTGTAGCAAAATCAAAACAAGAAAAACACGATTTCTTTACATTTTCCATCTTGATTAGTTTCATAATTGTCAATCAGTGTAACATTCTAACAGAAAAATAATACATTCAAGTTCTGGACAAACTAGGTAAAAGCTGTTTTCTTTTATGTTTTATATCACTGTTTCTAAGTGTTTTGAAATATAATGCTAAAACTCGTGCTTAAAGATAAGAAATTATATTTCTTTTGATATATTCCTCACAAAATGTCTTTTCATTTTTCAATTAAATAAGTACAATGTAATTAAAAACTTATTTGCCTAATAAGCCCTTTTCGGCCGTTTTGATGCTTTGTATCAAATTTTCTTGTTTTCTGTTATTTCCGTGAACAGTTACTTGTATCACTTGCGAATAAGCTGCCATGTTATTTAACCTTTATACAATTACTCGTATCACTTGCGGGTAAGCTGTTATGTTATTTTTACTTCTATACAGTTACTCGTATCACTTGCGGGTAAGCTGTCATGTTATGTTTACCTATGAACACTTACTCATATCACTTGCGAGTAAGTTGTCATGTTACTTTTACCGACATAAATACGAGCTAAGTGACGGCTGATATCGGCCATCGTAGTTACTTTTTTAACTGTACCTTTCAGTGCGCCTGTAATCTACACAATGTATATAGCTCCGTGAAGTGTTATACATACTATTGAACCAACAGTATTGATTATCCCTATACGAGTCCGTAACACAGTCCGCGGATACTTATTTCAGTCGATGACTAACACAGTGTTTGCTGTATCAATAAGTATCCGCGGACTGCGTTTGTTACGGACTCGTATAGGGATAATCAATACTGTGTTGTATATATATAATATATATACCGTCTATATTACTTCTTTGACCCAAAGAAGTAATATATTATAAATATGAATATATATATATATGGGGCAAAAAAGTAATTCCAACAGTGTGGACAAGTTTAGGTTGTCAAATTTTCGGAGCGATCCGCTCACCCCATATACTATTTTAAGTAATTCGTATCCTACGGACGTACCTCCATTAGGATCCAGTGTTATATGGGATTTTACCGTCTATATTCCTTCTTTGACCCATATATATATATATATAGGTTGATTAATAGGCGAAATGGCTTGTAAATATTTGCGTGCTACATGAACTCTGATTTGTGAACGCGGAAATGACTTGCAAATACTAAAATGCAAAAAAATAAAAAAAATAAAAATTATAAAAGAAATTGGTATACATCTTTGGAAGGTGAATCTATATGCCTATATTGCAATATTGCAGATATCCGTCTTTCGAATCTGTATTTGGTTCCAGGTTTCATTTTCTGTATTCATTACTAGAAATAGCATAACACTGGTAATACAAGTAGAGACACGTATATGATCGATCGTCGTTGGCGATGTGTGTGACTAGCCTAACACGCTACGGTTTAAATAATGTAACGCTCTACTTATTTCTTTGTCCAGGATTACTCTAGCCTTAATGTCAAATGTATTCTTTATGATTTAATACTTGTGCGGTATACTTATCTCATTTTATTAATAAATACTCTATAATACGGATCATGCCACAAAGCTATGACATATACCTTTACTATTTCTTACTGGGGAATGGAAATATCCCTTACTGCTTATAGTGCTATCCAAAGGGCAAACTGACCTTTTAGGGATAGATA